AATCCACTTGTTGATAAGAAAGGAGGAAAGAGCCATATATGGGAATATTTGGGATATTAGCTCATAATAGCGACGTGGCGCGATCGTTTTTACAGCCGCGCCTAAGTTCATTGTTGCATAGCAACGACAGACGCAACAGGAGAGCAAGCGCTTGTGGAAAGGAGAAAGCGGTGCGAACTGCGCTCTCCATGATGACGAGGAAGTATTTGCAAAGAATTCATTGATTTCTAGCCCTTGCATTGGCTTTACTACTAGATATATTTATGGAGATGAGAAATAAAAAGCCGGCTGAAATGCGTCACTGTCAAGAAGAGAAGAGGAGGGGAGAGAAACAGGAGAGGAAAAGCAGAGGAGGGGAACAGGAGAGGAAGAGCAGAGGAGGGGAGAGGAAGAGCAGAGGAGGGGAGAGGAGAGGAACAGGAGAGGAAGAGCAGAGGAGGGGAGAGAAACAGGAGAGGAAAAGCAGAGGAGGGGAACAGGAGAGGAAGAGCAGAGGAGGGGAGAGGAAGAGCAGAGGAGGGGAGAGGAGAGGAACAAGAGAGGAAGAGCAGAGGAGGGGAGAGGAACAGGAGAGGAAGTGCAGAGGAGGGGAGAGGAACATGAGAGGAAGAGGAGGGGAGAGGAGAGGAACAGGAGAAGAAGAGCAGAGGAGGGGAACAGGAGAGGAAGAGCAGGGGAGGGGAACAGGAGAGGAAGAGCAGAGGAGGGGAGAGGAACAGGAGAGGAAGAGCAGAGGAGGGGAGGGGAACAGGAGAGGAAGAGCGGAGGAGGGGAGAGGAACATGAGAGGAAGAGCAGAGGAGGGGAACATGAGAGGAAGAGCAGAGGAGGGGAACAGGAGAGGAAGAGCAGAGGAGGGGAATAGGAGAGAAAGAGCAGAGGAGGGGAGAGGAGAGGAAGAGCAGAGGAGGGGAACAGGAGAGGAAGAGCAGAGGAGAGGAACAGGAGAGGAAGAGCAGAGGAGGGGAACCGGAGAGGAAGAGCAGAGGAGGGGAGGGGAACAGGAGAGGAAGAGCGGAGGAGGGGAACAGGAGAGGAAGAGCAGAGGAGGGGAGGGGAAAAGGAGAGGAAGAGCGGAGGAGGGGAGAGGAACATGAGAGGAAGAGCAGAGGAGGGGAACCGGAGAGGAAGAGCAGAGGAGGGGAGGGGAACAGGAGAGGAAGAGCGGAGGAGGGGAGAGGAACATGAGAGGAAGAGGAGGGGAGAGGAGAGGAACAGGAGAAGAAGAGCAGAGGAGGGGAACAGGAGAGGAAGAGCAGGGGAGGGGAACAGGAGAGGAAGAGCAGAGGAGGGGAGAGGAACAGGAGAGGAAGAGCAGAGGAGGGGAGGGAAACAGGAGAGGAAGAGCAGAGGAGGGGAGAGGAACATGAGAGGAAGAGCAGAGGAGGGGAACATGAGAGGAAGAGCAGAGGAGGGGAACAGGAGAGGAAGAGCAGAGGAGGGGAATAGGAGAGAAAGAGCAGAGGAGGGGAGAGGAGAGGAAGAGCAGAGGAGGGGAACAGGAGAGGAACAGGAGAGGAAGAGCAGAGGAGAGGAACAGGAGAGGAAGAGCGGAGGAGGGGAGAGGAACATGAGAGGAAGAGCAGAGGAGGGGAACAGGAGAGAAAGTGCAGGGGAGAGGAACAGGAGAGGAAGAGCAGAGGAGGGGAACAGGAGAGGAAAAGCAGAGGAGAGGAACAGGAGAGGAAGACCAGAAGAGGGGAACAGGAGAGGAAGAGCAGAGGAGGGGAACAGGAGAGGAAGAGCAGAAGAGGGGAACAGGAGAGGAAGAGCAGAGGAGGGGAGAGGAGAGGAAGAGCAGAGGAGGGGAACGGGAGAGGAAGAGCAGAGGAGAGGAGAGGAACAGGAGAGGAAGAGCAGAGGAGGGGAGAGGAACAGGAGAGGAAGAGCAGAGGAGGGGAGGGGAACAGGAGAGGAACAGGAGAGGAAGAGCAGAGGAGGGGAGGGGAACAGGAGAGGAAGAGCAGAGGAGGGGAGAGGAACAGGAGAGGAAGAGCAGAGGAGGGGAACGGGAGAGGAAGAGCAGAGCAGAGGAGGGGAACAGGACAGGAAGAGCAGAGGAGGGGAGAGGAACCGGAGAGGAAGAGCAGAGGAGGGGAACAGGAGAGGAAGAGCAGAGGAGGGGAGAGGAACATGAGAGGAAGAGCAGAGGAGGGGAGAGGAACAGGAGAGGAAGAGCAGAGGAGGGGAACAGGAGAGGAAGAGCAGAGGAGGGGAACCGGAGAGGAAGAGCAGAGGAGGGGAGAGGAACATGAGAGGAAGAGCAGAGGAGAGGAACAGGAGAGGAAGAGCAGAGGAGGGGAACCGGAGAGGAAGAGCAGAGGAGGGGAACAGGAGAGGAAGAGCAGAGGAGGGGAGAGGAACATGAGAGGAAGAGCAGAGGAGGGGAACCGGAGAGGAAGAGCAGAGGAGGGGAACAGGAGAGGAGGAGCAGAGGAGGGGAACAGGAGAGGAAGAGCAGAGGAGGGGAACAGGAGAGGAAGAGCAGAGGAGAGGAACAGGAGAGGAAGAGCAGAGGAGGGGAACCGGAGAGGAAGAGCAGAGGAGAGGAACAGGAGAGGAAGAGCAGAGGAGGGGAACCGGAGAGGAAGAGCAGAGGAGAGGAACCGGAGAGGAAGAGCAGAGGAGGGGAACAGGAGAGGAAGAGCAGAGGAGGGGAGAGGAACATGAGAGGAAGAGCAGAGGAGGGGAGAGGAACGGGAGAGGAAGAGCAGAGGAGGGGAACAGGAGAGGAAGAGCAGAGGAGGGGAACCGGAGAGGAAGAGCAGAGGAGGGGAGAGGAACAGGAGAGGAAGAGCAGAGGAGGGGAGAGGAACAGGAGAGGAAGAGCAGAGGAGGGGAGAGGAACAGGAGAGGAAGAGCAGAGGAGGGGAGGGGAGGGGAACAGGACAGGAAGAGCAGAGGAGGGGAGGGGAACAGGACAGGAAGAGCAGAGGAGGGGAACAGGAGAGGAAGAGCAGAGGAGGGGAGAGGAACATGAGAGGAAGAGCAGAGGAGGGGAGAGGAACAGGAGAGGAAGAGCAGAGGAGGGGAGAGGAACATGAGAGGAAGAGCAAAGGAGGGGAGGGGAACAGGAGAGGAAGAGCGGAGGAGGGGAGAGGAACAGGAGAGGAAGAGCAGAGGAGGGGAGGGGAACAGGACAGGAAGAGGAGAGGAGGGGAGGGGAACAGGACAGGAAGAGCAGAGGAGGGGAGAGGAACCGGAGAGGAAGAGCAGAGGAGGGGGAACAGGAGAGGAAGAGCAGAGGAGGGGAGAGGAACATGAGAGGAAGAGCAGAGGAGGGGAGAGGAACAGGAGAGGAAGAGCAGAGGAGGGGAACAGGAGAGGAAGAGCAGAGGAGGGGAACCGGAGAGGAAGAGCAGAGGAGGGGAATAGGAGAGGAAGAGCAGAGGAGGGGAGAGGAACATGAGAGGAAGAGCAGAGGAGGGGAACAGGAGAGGAAGAGCAGAGGAGGGGAATAGGAGAGGAGGAGCAGAGGAGGGGAGAGGAACATGAGAGGAAGAGCAGAGGAGGGGAACCGGAGAGGAAGAGCAGAGGAGGGGAGGGGAACAGGAGAGGAAGAGCAGAGGAGAGGAACAGGAGAGGAAGAGCAGAGGAGAGGAACAGGAGAGGAAGAGCAGAGGAGGGGAGAGGAGAGGAACAAGAGAGGAAGAGCAGAGGAGGGGAGGGAAACAGGAGAGGAAGAGCGGAGGAGGGGAGAGGAACATGAGAGGAAGAGCAGAGGAGGGGAACCGGAGAGGAAGAGCAGAGGAGGGGAGGGTAACAGGAGAGGAAGAGCAGAGGAGAGGAGAGGAACAGGAGAGGAAGAGCAGAGGAGAGGAACAGGAGAGGAAGAGCAAAGGAGGGGAACAGGAGAGGAAGAGCAGAGGAGGGGAGGGGAACAGGAGAGGAAGAGCAGAGGAGGGGAGAGGAACAGGAGAGGAAGAGCAGATGAGGGGAGAGGAACAGAACAGGAAGAGCAGAGGAGGGGAGGGGAACAGGAGAGGAAGAGCAGAGGAGGGGAGGGGAACGGGAGAGGAAGAGCAGAGGAGGGGAACGGGAGAGGAAGAGCAGAGGAGGGGAGAGGAACCGGAGAGGAAGAGTAGAGGAGGGGAACAGGAGAGGAAGAGCAGAGGAGGGGAGAGGAACATGAGAGGAAGAGCAGATGAGGGGAGAGGAACAGGAGAGGAAGAGCAGAGGAAGATTATCTTGTCCCGGGCCCGGCAAGACTGTCAGCTGGCATGCTCATGCAGTTCTTAAAGTTGGCTCTTTGGAAAAATTAATGGTCATCTTTCATTCTCGCAGGGTCTGTTAAATCTTGTCCCGTTTTCAGAAATGTATGCAAATAACCTAAACGATATTACACTGTTGCATTTAGTAAAGGTGACAGACCAATCCCTGGACATCAAGCTGAAGATGGCTGGGCACCTGGACCAACATCTCCACAATGATAACTTTAAGAACCTTTTCATTTATGCAATGCATATTTCTCATATCTCGACTTATATATCTTACTGATATTACATCAAGTTTCTTATGTTAAACTTAGACACAGTCAGGATGCCAGCAAAATATGTGTCATAATAAATTTGTATAGTAATTTTCTCAAAAAGAGAAAATTGCCCCAGAAACATATAAGTTATAAATAAGCATATTATTACACTAACGTTTAACATCCATAAAGTGTCACCATATTTTTTTTATCAACATTGTGAACTATACTGTACAACTACAGTTTTATCACCCCCCCCCCCCCCCCCCCCCTCCCCCTAAATAAATAAATAAATAAAATATAATGTTTTGCTTGAGAAGTGTTTGTATTAGGCATCTTTGTTTAAAATATTGTTTGAAAATTTTGTAATAACATTTAACATTTAAACAAGGTTTATGTTGGTGTCCAAGTACATTTTTAGACATGTTGAATGTTTGTTGCAAGATTAAAATGGACATAACACAAATATTTACATGGTATATTCGGTCAAGCTTTTTTTTGCGATTGACTTTTATTTTGAAAAGACAGTAACCTCCAGCCATTTCCGGGTTGTCAGTCCGTGGACGTGCATGATAATTGTGTGATGAGACACAGAAAAGGTGAGGCTTCTTCTGCATGAACTTCACATTTGTGTCTCTGTGTTGTGACGCAGCTAATGTTTATTTTTCTCTTTCATCTTCCTGAATGACAGATAATGCGCCTTTAACTGTGTGCTGACATGTAGCAACTAAAGGAGGTTTGTTCTGTCTCCAGTTTTGTAATATAGACATTAAGACATACATTATAGAATACAACACAATAATTTCAGAATATATGATACATTTTACGTATTACCATCTATTTAGACAAATTGCCTATCATGGTAATACCATGGTATTATAGTAACGTTAGGCTATAGTATTTTGCAGTACCCATGCAAATACCCTGGTACATGAACATTGTAGTTATTTATTGCAACCCACAGTTTTACCTTTTTATGTCATCACTGTACAAGAGTAACACTCTAGTACATTTGCCTAAAAAAAAAATAACAATCACTGTTTTGATAATAAAATGTAGTTCTCCTCTAGGTTTTCGCCGGTAAGCCATGGATCTGAGCATGAAGTCCTACGGTGACCCAGATGAGGTGTGTGTGTTTCCATCAGCTGGCTGTAGCACTGAAGAACAGGCGAGAACGCTTGATCTACACACATCAGGTGCTGCGTTTGATCTGGGTGAGAATGCAGGAGTTTACATTATACATTGGGCATAATGCATTCATTCACCGTATGATAATCACAGTTTGATACTGCACTGCCTGTTTGTGAAAAGTGTAAATTGCCCTGACTTTGATTTTCATTTTTCCGTGTGGCGTGGGGAGTGCTGGGTCAATGAAAAAAATGTGCAAATAAATGTATAAAACCAAATTAATATACTTATTTATTTAAAAAATATATATATAATAGATATAATTCAATTTACTGAATTTGACATTACTGTTTTATTCTGTTTTCTAAAGACCTGTCTGTTATCATGAGATTAATGACAGTTACTTTGTTATATTTTATGTCTCTCTTCAGGTTTATACAGTATACTAGGCCAAACTGATGGAGTGTGTCGCTTTTCTTAAACATGTAGGAAGACACATCATGGCCATATTCCAGTATGAAAATGTCAAGATTCATCAGGCTCAAACTGAGAAAGCATGAAGAATCATTTCTACATACGAATCCAGAGCTTATCTTCATTGAAAGTCTTTGGGATGTGCTGGAGACTTTACAGAGAGCTGGACTCTTGCATTCTCAAGATTTTCCCCAAATATTGATGCACCTCTTGATGGAAATAACATCACAATATTCATTCCCATCAAGAGGTGCATACATTTCTGGTCAACATTTTCATCCTAGAATATGACCATGATGTGTCTTGATTGCTTAAGAAATGAAATGCTACACACCCCATCAATTATGATTAGAAGAACTGCTGCCAAACATATTACATGCTAGAAACATAATAATCACTGCAATAATGATCCAATATTGACTCTTGTCTTGAGCATTTGTCTATTTACATCCAAACAGCGACTTTTTTTTGTGCTGGGCAGTGTAAATATTAGTTAGGAAAGGAGTTCCTCGCTAAGGGAACATCATATTTAGGGGTCAAAAACCCTGAAAACCCCTGGCCTATAGAGTATCGCGCAGCTTTCAGAAACACTCTTATTGTTTACCTGTCAAATATATTGAATAGATGTATGTATTTGTTGAGAGAGACAACATAACACAATCATTTTCCTTTACAAATGTCACCACAGACGACCACGCAAAGAGTGTTTCTGCCAGAGCGAGGCCGTTTCAGTGCTCTCAGTGCGGGAAGGGGTTTTCCCGTATCCAGCATCTGTCCGAACATGTGCGGATTCACACCGGAGAGAGGCCTTTTGAGTGCTTGGTGTGCGGGAAGACTTTCACCCGGGAGAGAGACCTCAAGACTCACCAGATCGTCCACACAGATGCGAAGGCCTTCCACTGTACGATCTGTGTGAAAAACTTCGCCCTGTTGTCCTCCTTGAGAAGACATCTGCGTGCATTTCATCAAGGTACAACATGAGACTGCAGACAATAAGACATTAGATTCTATGATTTTCTCCATAGTTTCGGGGTGTTGTTAGGCCTAAAATATATACACCAACTCTGTTTCCATTCAAAGTTGCGCATTTAACTTATGCGCCAAATTTCCTGATCACACGATTTGTTGAGTTACATGACTTTTTTTTGTTGCGCATCAAGGGATTTATTCGGTAAATGTGTTTCCATCGCAGTTTATGTGCACGTCGTCTTAAAGGGATACTCCACTTTTTTTGGAAATAGGCTTATTTTACAACTCCCCCAGAGTTAAACTGTTGAGTTTTACCGTTTTTGAATCCATTCAGCCGATCTCGGGTTCTGGTGGTACCACTTTTAGCATAGTTTAGCATACATCATTGAAGTGGACAAGACCATTAGCATTTCTCAAAAAAAAATGACCAAAGAGTTTCGATATTTTTGACTCTTCTGTAGTTACATCGTGCACTAAGGGCGTAATGATATGACGCAGCGCCTGAAAATAGTCCCCAGCTCGGTAACTTCCAACGTGACCGGGACTAAGTGCCTGCGCCTGCTGCACTCATGGTACGGCAGTAAAGTTTCTTGATTATTACGCAGGAATGAGAGTATAGTTCCTAGCCATATCAGCCTAGAAAATCGCAACTTTACATTTTCCGTCGGTCTTAGTGCACGATGTAACTACAGAAGAGTCAAGTTTTAAATAGGAAAAATATCGAAACTCTTTGGTCATTTTTTTTTTAGAAATGCTAATGGTCTTGTCCACTTCAATGATGTATGCTAAGCTATGCTAAAAGTGGTACCGCCAGAACCGGAGATCGGCTGAATGAATTCAAAAACGGTAAAACTCAACAGTTTAACTCTGGGGGAGTTGTAAAATGAGCCTATTTCCAAAAAAAGTGGAGTATCCCTTTAAGTTTTTATGCACATTGTTTTAAATTATGTTTCCATCCAGTTTTTTTTAATAAAAACTTTGCATAAAAATAGGTGGATGGAAACATAGCTACTATAACACCTACTTAAAGTCCCTCTGTAGTCAATCATTTTATCCCTAAAAACTCATATTTGATCACCAAATTAACATATTTAAAAGTTTTTTTCCTTGAATGTAACTCGACACCCTTGCCTCATTTAGTATGCGCGGTTCTATGAATATGCAAATGATCCCCGGCTCCACTCACTCACTCAGCTCAGAGATCCACTGGTTGACGATCACACGTTGATCTGATTGGTTACAAGGTCGTTTGTGACGTCAGAAACACCAGCGATTTCAATCCGTGTTTTTGAGACTGTCTTTGGTTCACTGCAGTTTTAAGCAGAAAATACTCGGCAATGCTGTCGACTTATGAATTTACACATGGTTTGTCTTAAAGCGTTTTAAAAACACCACGTACATAATATAAACATCATAAAAAACTTTAAGGTTCTAAAAAAACACCTGAAACTTCTGTGGGTCCTGCCAGTTTATTGGCCCATCCAGTCAGATTTGATTACAATTTAGTCTAGTTACATAATCCAAATATAAACACAGAAATCAATGCTTAATTTAGATTGAATTCACTTTATTAAACCTTTCTTAGCGGTAACAGTCATTATATTATACATTCATTAAAGGTCTGATTCACAATCGCAAAATAAAACCTACCATGGCATCGGTGTTCGGCAAATCATCATCATGCAGTGGCTTATTTTGTAATATTGATAGGCAGAGATTTTGACCAATCAGAATGAAGTATCCTCTCTTTTTGCAGGTCAAGATGTAAGTACGGAGGGTAAGTGCTTAATTTGCGTTGAATGTGGGAAAAACTTTGCCTGTCAGCTTGAGGAACATGAGCTAACACACACCGGAGAGATATCCCACCGCTGCCCTGACTGTGTCAACAGCTTCACACGATCTCACCATCAGACCTTCTCTGAATCAGACCACATGAACCATTCAGACGAGAGGCCTTGCAGTTCTGTGGACTCTGAAGATCTGCACAAACGCTTACAAACTGACGCACTTAAGGACAATATTGAATCCCACTCTCTGGACCTTGTGGACAGTATTGAGAGCGAAGCGTCTAATGAACACGATGCCCGAAGTCAACAGAAAGTGTCTGAGAGAGCTCCATCTCCTTCATCCGAGCTCTCTCGGGATTCTGCTCATTCTGCTGAGAAGGGTGAGTCTAATAAGTATATCAGGGGCGGATCTAGAAAAATATTTATGGGGTGGCAAGAGGGGGGCAGGTATTTTTTAGGGGTGGCAACATGGCAGACGTATATATATACTGAATTTAATCACAGTCAACACAGTTTGATGAGAAATCGTATGTATACACACTACAAAAGGGCATTATTTGTATTATTATTTGTATCTTTTTTTGTGGGGGGGTTTGGGGTCACCTGTGAGTACAGGGCTGGACTGGGACAAAAAATCGGCCCGGGCATTTTGGCCCAGACTGGCCCACTACATATGATCATAAACACAACCGAACTTTGCACTCCCTTGAATATGTATACCAACTCCTATAAAAACCACTAATGTCATAACATAAGTGAATAGGAGTGAGTAAGAGTTAACAGATGAAATAACTACTAAGTTGAACTATAGGCCTACTCCACAGTGATGAATGCTAAAACAAGCTATATGCTGCATTGGTATAGCAATAGGGTTTTTTTCCCACAGGATTTTGTGAAATCTGTGGTGAGTGCACCTCTGTCCCTCTAGGGGGGTTCGGGGGCATGCTCCCCCCTAAGAAAATTTTGTGCTTTTTAATGTTAAATTCATCAATCTGGTGCACTTTGAGAGTTCAAAATAAAGAACAAAGAAAAACTCAAAACTCTTTTAGTTGTGATATAGTGTCTGTCTACATTACACTACTATATAATAATAGTTATAATATTATGGCCAGTCCAGCCCAGTGTGAGTATAAAGGCAGGGGTGCGTTTAACTTTTGGAGCCAAGGTGTGCCGACCTTTTTTCCCTTTTTTATATATATTATTTTGTTGAGCACCCAACTTGAGCGTTTTACTGTGGAATACTGTAGGCTACTGCATATAAACACCAGACAGATACATGATATACGAAACAGATGTGCTTTACTCATCTCACTTGCACAAAATAAATGCAGTAATATAAAGCATAGAAACACACAGGTGAATTACACTGAAAATGATATGCATTTAAAAATTTGGTCGGGTTGAAAACTTATCTCTCTGGTAATGGAACTCGGTCGCTGTTGTCTCTTGCTCTCGCTGTCTCCCGCTCTCGCGGTCAGATCACCGGAAGTTTTCGCCGGAAGTATTTGCCCACACACTAAAGTATGAACGTCAACGGTCGTCATATTATGCACGTAGCGAATTCACTGCAGTCGGACATGGGAGATTCGCGCTCATAAATTGTCAAATTGGCCATAACTTTTAATTCGTTGCTGCCAACTGGGGTGGCAGCAGGGGTGGCAAGGCTTTCTTTTAGGGTGGCATTTGCCACCCTATGCCACCCCGGTAGATCCGCCCCTGTATCTATGTATAGTTATGTCTAACAGAAACAGTATCATATTCTGCATCCCAATTCACCTACTCGTACTATGCCCGGTCCCACTTTATACTAAGGGCCAGATTTACTATCACCTTGATTCAGCGCAAACTCTCTTTTGGCATTAACAAACTAAACCACTGAAAAGGCTTGGACAGGGTTATTTTAGCGGCTGACATTATTGCATATGCATTTGTAGGAGTTTCTCTTTCAGACGCAAAATTTATGGGAGGAGAGTATTTAAATGAATAACGCAGGGTGATTTACTAAGGTTTGCGCTAGTCAATTGACTGGTGTTTGCGCTATTATATACCGCCCAAAAAAGCATGTTTTAAACCAGACGCTAATCTGCGCTGCTCTTGGTAGATTGTGTTGGTCATTATGGAAATGATCCGGCTGCGTCTGTGTTCTTTCATTTGTGCGTTATCAGTAGATCACGAGCAGACATTTCCACTCCCACCGCCACTTTTATGGAATTGCACTAATAACAGCAAAAAATTCAGTTTTGCCAAAGTGGTAACACTTTACTTAAAGGGGTGTGCATAAGACTGACATGACACCTTCATAATCATGACATGACACACGTCATGAATATGAATGAGGTTTTATGCATGTTTATGACAACTGTCATTAAGTGTCATTCGCTCAATTATGACATTGTTTGAGAAGTCTTTGTAATGACACCTTGACATAAACCAATACATCATAACCTGTCCGTGTCTTGGTAATGACAATTTGACATTACCAAGACAACAAATTGTCATAAATATGTCATAAACACGACATAGCAAATTAATTATCAAACTTAAAGCTCCAGTCCGTAACTTTTTTAAGTTAAAAATAATCCAAAATAATTATATTAAAAAAAACGTATTCTGCCAGTGGTCAAAACTATCTGCTTGCCATAGCTAGATTCAAAACGGTTAGCTTGTAATAATGATTTTAATTCCAGTGGTACTGGTGGGTTTCCGCGGGAAATTCGAGCATGTCTTTGCGTCATGACGTCACACCCGTACACATAAAGAAGGAGTTTCGGCTAGCCGGCTATACTGCGCGTGACGAGATGTTTAGATGTATAGGCTTTTCTCGCAGCACTTTACATAAATAAACTTATGGCATCCAGAAAGATCCAGACAACAATCATCAGTGTCAACTGGAGATTCAGCAGTTATAAAACCCAAAAGACTTCGTACTTCGGATTTAAGGTGGCTAGAGAAAGAGAAAGAAACCGTCTCATGCGAACACAAGGATTTAAACATCGGCGGGGCTTTTGAGAAGTGCGTGAACTCCGTGTTTTGAAGGGGTTCGAAACGGAAGAAGAGACGGCTTTTTTCTGCTGAACAAGTAAGACATTTCAATAGTTCAATCGTGTAACAGTACGTTTTCTTAATTCACACAGTTATGGAGTTTCCTTTGTTGTGCCTTTCTCGTTTTGCTATTATGGAGAATATGAATTCTGAACTACACAGGTAACCATAAAACACATTAAATTTAACATTAGTCACGCAATGCTGATGTTGTTAACATGAACAATTTGAGAACAAAGTAGGCTATAATTTGCACGGTTGCTGTAAATCGCGTTGATTAAATCTAACGAAGCTTATCATGTCGAATGCTTTTTCCCCCTTAGTTGGTCAGAACAAAAATGGATTTTACTTACTTGTTCAGAAGACATTTTCTTATGAAAATTCTTATGTTGGTCAAACTTTCAAAAAGTGAATCTGTGATTCTGTATGCCAGTATCCACACAGCGAGGTGACTGACAGCAGCACTCGCCTCAAAGCACTGTGTTCATCCGCGCTGTTTCATGCCGATTTACAACCCACGTAAAGATAATAATTCCGCGAATCACTGCAGTTACAGATTTCGAACAGAGATGGCGACAAAGAGGAAAAGATACGGACTGCAGCTTTAAGAAACACGCTTTATGGGTTAACATTACATTAAACTGTCAGGTGGTTGGTTTTGACATTGGCTGTTATGAGGCATTATAACTATCATGAATATTTTTTTTGCCCTTAACTACAGTGGTACACATTGAATTTGTCATTAAAATGTTATAATGCCTCATGACAGGCAATGTCAAAACCAACCACCTGACAGTTTAATGTAATGTTAACCCATAAAGCTAAGTGGTTTCTTAAGTTTGATAATTAATCTGCTGTCATGTTTATGACATATTTATGACAGGTTGTGTTGTCTTAGTAATGTCAAGTTGTCATATTGTAATGTCATATTTACATAAAAAATTTCATAATTAAGCGAATGACACTTAATGACAGTTGTCATAAACATGCCTAAAACCTCCTTCATATTCATGATGTGTGTCATGTCATGATTATGAAGGTGTCATGTCAGTCTTATGCACACCCCTTCAAGTAAAGTGTTACCATTTATTATTATAAAACCGCTTTCAGGGTATCTCTACTTAACCCTTTGGAATCAATGCACATTTGTAGTTCTTTTTATTCATGTTTGTAGTTCTAAACCGAATCCTCATCCAAATGGGATGTAGGCAATATTAGCATGAGCACGGATCCATACTTCGAAAATCTCCCAGAAATAATTGGATTGATAGCCCATCCGTGGACTATCAACAGACTTTGCTTTAGGACACAGTTATTCTACTCTCATTAGGTTGGATAGTAAGCACTTTGGGATTCAGGTCTGGTTTCTACCAAAATACAATAGCATAAGCCACCTTGAAATCTCATTGGTCCAAAATCCCACTCCACATATCTGCTTTTAACATTGCATCATTTGCTCTTCTAGGCGTTGGAGCACATAACCCTCTTCAAGAGGAAGAGTTTACTGCTCACCAGCAACTTCACGACGAAGACAAGCCGCACCAGTGCAATCACTGTGGAAAGAGGTTTCATAAGCAAGCAAAGCTTCGAATCCATCTGCGTGTTCACACCGGAGAGCGGCCGTACCAGTGCTCCCAGTGTGGGAAATATTTCAGTCAAGCAGTAAACCTTAAAAAACACCACCGTACTCATCATACAGAGGAGAGGCCGTACCAGTGCACGCTCTGTGACAGGAGGTTTTCTCTCTCCTTCTCCCTGATAAAGCATCAGCGAGTCGCTCATCCAGGTGAGAATCATCCTGAAAACTAAAACTGAGGAGAAATACGTCCTGTGAGGTTTTATGATGGCGCCATCTGCTTTTCGGAAGTTACAGATATTGGTTAATCAGGGGTTTTCAAACTTTTTAATGCCACAGTCCTCCAAATATGATGATCCCTGCAAGAGTTCCCCTTCCTGAAATGGAAAAGGCATGTATAAAGAAAGATACACTCTAAAAAATGCTGGGTTGTTTCCACCCATGTTTGGGTCAAATATGGACAAACCCAACCATTTTTTAATACAAATTTTCAACCCAACGGTTGGGTTTGTCCATATTTGACCCAAACATGGGTGGAAACAACCCAGCATTTTTTAGAGTGTACATTTGTGAAAAAATATATCTATAAAATATTTACTTTCTATTAAGTTTCTAAGGTTTATATTTTTTTTGGTACTTTTTTATCTGTTTCTAGAGTAAATTAATTTCTCATTATAAAACCTATTGTTATTATTTTATCATTTTTTTACACCATTTAAAACATTTTGGAGGACCCTCTAGCACCGTGGTTCTTAATTTCTACTTGACAAAATATTTTAGAGCTTGGCGTAACCAGAAAAATGTATATTCATTATAAAAAACCCCAATGCCGTTTTCATATTTTAATAATTTGCATGGCTTAACCAGGTCTAAAAAACACTCTTTTAAAATCAGGCTACCTCGTATATCCAGGTTTTCCAAGAAAAAACAATGTCTAAAAAGCAGACAATCTAGATTTTTAGTTGTTTTAGCTTATTTTAATGCTTTAAATCAACGTTTAAGTCATCTTTAGGCCTCGTCTCCTGCTTACCGGTTTGAAAACCCCGGAGTTAAATAACCAATAGCGTTGCTCAATACAATATGTTGTTGGGTTTGCTGTTTCTTTTGTCTGCCATCATTGAAAATCCTGTTGATTTCTTTCTTTCAAAAGAACGTTTGAGTGTTGCTGAAAGGAAGCGCTTCACCTGTCCGTACTGTGGGAAAATATTTGGACGACATCAAGACATGGAGCAACACAAACGCATTCACACCGGCGAGAGACCGTTCCGCTGCACCGTGTGCAATAAAAGTTTCAGGCAGCGTTCGGTGTTGATCGTGCATAGGAAAATTCACACTGGAGAAAAGCCTTTCGAATGTTTCATATGCTTCAGACGCTTTTATGGTTCAGGGGATCTGAAGACTCATATGGGGACTCATACCGGCGTGAGACCCCACAGTTGTCCTCTGTGCTCCAAAAGCTTCCCTCGGCCCAGTAGCCTCCAAGCACACATGCAGTCCCATCTGAACAAGTTGCGGGAACGAGATGTTCTGATCAACCAAGCGGATGAGCTTATTCCTAAAGAGGGGGAACAGGGTGACGTGGAAGATATCTGTGGTGTTTCTGTTTCATCACAGCTTTCAGCAATGCTTTCTGGAAACCCTGGAGCTTCTGTGGACGGTATGTTCTCTAGTTGTTCTTTAATAAGGTTCATTAGTTAACATTAACTAATAATGAGCTGCACTTATACAGCATTTGTTAATGTTAATTTCAACATTTACTAATGCTTTATTAAAATCGTGTAAACATTGGTTAATGCACTGAACAAACAAAGAACAGCTGTATTTTCATTAACATTAACAAAGATTAATAAATACTGTAGCAAATGTATTGCTCGTGGTTAGTTCATGTTAGTTAATACATTAACTAATGTTAACCTTATTGTAAAGTGTTACCGTTGTTTTTTTGTGGCCAGTTTACGTAGTAACATAGTTGTCTTAATATAGCATAAATGCATTGTAATGTGTCTGAACATGTTTTACAGAAATGAGCGCAGGCGATCCTCATCTATTAGAGACGGAGACGGGACTCGGTCCATCAGTGAATGAAGATCATGATGCTGATCAGAGTTCCAGTTCAGAGCTGACAGATCATCAGAAGCTTTATCACTGTGCCATATGCAACAAAACCTTCTCGCTCGCAATTTCCCTGAAAAGACATCAGCTTATATTTCATCCAGGTAGGAGGACCTGCCAGGACACATTACAATATTAGCATTTCTTTTCTTGAATGAAGATAAGAAATAAATTGTATTGTTCCGCCTCAATAACTACATATGAACTATGAAGAAATAACCTGATGTGAAATTCAATGCTGATATTTCCACAAATATCCACTCAACTTGGTTAACACTTGGTTGAATTTAATGAGAAATTGTTTTCTATTATACTACAGTATTGTAACAGGGGGGAGTGATGATGCTAATAGGACTGACAAAAAGTATTTATTTAAAAAATAATAATTTAATGATTTTTCTACAATTATGCAATTTTCAAAAATCATTTGTTTAAACTATTTCCTGGTAACAGAGTTGACATTTTAATTATTAAATGACAAAATAGGCACTGATACTTGTCCTTAAAGAGTTCACTTCATGAAAAGATAAAGTATTTTTTTAAATAATACTACAATATTTAATGGGGTGAATGATTATGATAACAGGGTTGACATCCATTTCATTAGTCTTGGCGCTAAAAGTGTTTGTTCACAATATTTCTAAGAATATCCACTTTTCAAAAATCATTTGTTTACTATACAAAATCCTGGTAGCAGGGTTGACTTTTTAATAATTGATGAAAAATATTTTTCTTTGGAGAGTTCACTTAATGAAAAGATAAAGTAGTTTTACAGAATTGTTTTCTATAATACTACAGTATTGTAACAGGGGTGAGTGATGATGGTAATAGGACTGTCAGACATTTATTAGCTTTGGCACTAAAAGTGTTTATTAAAAAATATATAAAAATATATATATTACTACAACTGAGCATTTTTCAAAAATCATTTGTTTACGATAAAATATCCTGGTAATAGGGTTGACATTTTAATTATTCAATGACAAAATAGGCACAGATACTTGTCCTTGGAGAGTTCACTTCATGAAAAGATAAATTTGTTTTGTAGAATTGTTTTCTATAATACTACAGTATTGTAACAGGGGTGAGTGCTGATGGTAATAGGAATGACAGCCATTTCTTAGGCACTAAAAATTTGACACTAAGAATGCATTTCTTATTTCTTCGGCACTAAAAGTGTTTATTTAAAAAAAAAATATGGTAACACTTTATTTTAAGGTGCTTGTAATAAGCAGTAATTAACAGTTAATAAGACACTTATAAGACCTTATAAGACACTTATAAGACCTTATAAGATGCATATAAGATGCATATAAGCATTAACTACTTCATATAAGGGTTAATTAAAGGTCCAGGCCCTGAAGAGATCAGGGAAACTACTCCCTCTTGGGAAGGTCAATTTTTAAGGGCCTGGGAGTTTGTGTTACCATTTATGTTTGTTCGGCTGTTCTAAAAGTGCAATGTATTGATACTTGAGAAATTTATTATTTAATTTAATTTATTTATTATCATTAGTTAATGCTTATATGCATCTTATATGCATCTTATAAGGTCTTATAAGTGTCTTATTAACTGTTAATTACTGCTTATTACAAGCACCTTAAAATAAAGTGTTACCTAAAATATATATATATATTTCTACAACTTTGCATTTTTCAAAAATCATTTGTTTACGATAAAATATCCTGTAACAGGGTTGACATTTTAATTATTCAATGACAAAATAGGCACAGATACTTGTCCTTGGAGAGTTCACTTCCTGAAAAGATAAATTTGTTTTGTAGAATTGTTTTCTATAATACTCGTGACGTGAACGTTAAAAGGATGATACGACAAATATTTTGCTTTCCTTTGACACGGCAACCTTTTTCACGAATGCATATGACTTCAAAGACAGACGCAGATAATCCGCACGCGCTCTGCCGATCTCTCTCATTCACTGTCTGTGCGAAGCCTCTGTAGGCTACACATCACCACGATAAACAGTCTTGTTTGTTATCATTATGAACTTGTTTAACATTCAATACACATGCATGAAGTTCAAAACAAGCAGTTAAATGTCTATAATAGCCTAATAGTATCAATATGTTGCATAACTACAGTCCTGTAATTCAGGTAACAGCTGGAAAAAACAAAAACACTTATCTAAATCTCGAAAATCGGATCGGATCGGATCGAATCGAATAATGATAATCGATTCAAGATCTTGAGAATCGGAATCGAATCGATTCTTGAAATTTGAATCGAAACCCAGCTCTACTAAGAATGCATTTCTTATTTCTTCGGCACTAAAAGTGTTTATAAAAAAAAAAGTTTAAATTATATTTCTACAACTTTGCATTTTTCAAAAATCATTTGTTTACGATAAAATATCCTGGTAACAGGGTTGACAATTTAATTATTCAATGACAAAATAGGCACAGATACTTGTCCTTGGAGAGTTCACTTCTGAAAAGAAGTTTTGCAGAATTGTTTTCTATAATACTACAGTATTGTAACAGGGGTGAGTGATGATGGTAACAGAGTTGACGCAAAAGCCACGAGTTTTATAGTGGTTTTGATAATATGCATTCTTCTTTGTCATTTGAACAGATCAGCATGCTGACATCGAGGGCAAGTGCTTCCCCTGCTCTTACTGCGGGAGGAAGTTTGGTCGACGTCAAGGCTTGTTACAGCATGAGCGGATTCACACGGGTGAACGGCCCTTCAACTGTCCCACATGTAACAAGAGCTTCCGTCAGCGATCGGCTTTGGTTGTGCATATTAAAACTCACACAGGAGAGAGGTCGTTCCTGTGCTTTGTGTGCAGTAAGAGCTTTTATACCCCTGGAGACTTGAAAAAACATCTGGAAGTTCACACAGGAGTGCGGCCACACAACTGCCCTGTTTGCTGCAAGGGCTTCGGGCGGCCCAGCTTCCTCAGAGCTCACATGCGAATTCATGAAAGTAAGTTTGACGTTTCTCAGAAATGTCAGTGCTCAAAAATGTTATCTTTCTTTTAGTGCAGGGCAACGATTAAACGCATCCAAAAGTTTGTTTACATAATAAATGTGTGTGTACTGTGTATAATTATTTTGTATATATATATATATATATATATAAATACACACACATGCATGTATATATTTAAGAAATATTTGCAAGTATATACTGTATATATATTTATATATAATTTATTATTAAAGCAATTAGCCCTGGAAAGCCGTGTTTTACAGTGAATTTAGAACAAAAACCCCCTTAGCTGTTCTAAAGTCACTGTAAAACACGGCTTCAAGGGGCTTATTGCTTTTATAAAACGGTTACTCCATAAAAATATTCATTTTAATATTTATTTTATTCATAAAATAAACAGCAGCAACAAAAAATATAACGTTATAACACATTTATTCCTCCGCCAAGTAATGTAGTTCCAAAGAGGTTGCCAAGCAACACATGCAGCAACAAAGCATCACAAACAGCAGTTGCGCAGCAACACTAATGTAATGCGGTCACAGGTGTGTGTGTGTGTGTGTGTGTGTGTGTGTAACACTGATGTAATGCGGTCACAGGTGTGTGTGTGTAACACTAATGTAATACGGTCACAGGTGTGTGTGTGTAACACTAATGTGATGCGGTCACAGGTGTGTGTGTGTGTAACACTAATGTGATGTGGTCACAGTGTGTATGTGTGTGTAACACTAATGTAATACGGTCACAGGTGTGTGTGTGTGTGTAACACTAATGTAATGCGGTCACAGGTGTGTGTGTGTGTAACACTAATGTAATGCGGTCACAGGTGTGTGTGTGTGTAACACTAATGTGATGCGGTCACAGGTGTGTGTGTGTATAACACTAATGTAATGCGGTCACAGGTGTGTGTGTGTGTGTGTAACACTAATGTAATGCGGTCACAGGTGTGTGTGTGTGTAACACTAATATGATGCGGTCACAGGTGTGTGTTTGTTGAATAGTTTACAACTGCTTCGAATGCGGTTCAACCAATCAGAATCAAGGACGGAACTATCCGTTTTATAAATATAAATATATTATATATAAATAACCATTTTTTCTTAAATATATAGATACATGTGTGTGTATTTATACAAAATAATTATACACAGTACACACACATATATTATGTAAACACAAACTTTTATTTTGGATGCGTTTAATCTCGATTAATCGTTTCCCCGCAGCACTACTTTGTTTATACGTTTTTTTTTTATGATTAAAATGTATTTTTTACGGATTATTTTCTCTTTGTTTTCCAGAAGCTTCCACAAAGAAGCAAAGTGGAACGGAGAAACCAACAGGTGGTCCAAAAGTGGACTTGCAGGAGAAGCCATTTGAATGCTCTCACTGTGGGAAAAGATTCAGTCAGCATTGTATGTTTAAGATTCACCAGCGGATTCACACAGGAGAGAGACCTTACAAGTGCTCTGAGTGTGGCCTGAGCTTTCGCTGGAGGAGAAACCTGATCGCCCACCAGAGCGGCCACCCGGGCCAGAACCCTCTCCAGTGCTCGATGTGTGATGAAACATTCATCTCTGAAGCTAGTCTCAAAAAACACCAAGATGCATTTCATACAGGTAAGACGATGTAAGGGGTGGCTAGCTATTAGAAGCATGTACACCATAAATAAGTGTTGTTTACGCATTTTTAATGCTTTGAAATAAATATGATTTTTTTTTTTGTCCTTTATAAATTTGTTTAGTTGACTTAAAGGGGTGGTTGATTATGATTTCACTTTTCTAACTTTAGTTCATGTGAAATGTTGCTGTTTGAGCATAAACAACATCTGCAAATTTACAATGCTCAAAGTTCAAAAGCAAAGGGAGATATTTGCTTTTAAAGGGATACTCCACTTTTTTTGGAAATAGGCTCATTTTACAACTCCCCCAGAGTTAAACTGTTGAGTTTTACCGTTTTTGAATCCATTCAGCCGATCTCCGGTTCTGGCGGTACCACTTTTAGCATAGCTTAGCATACATCATTGAAGTGGACAAGACCATTAGCATTTCTAAAAAAAGAAATGACCAAAGAGTTTCGATATTTTTCCTATTTAAAACTTGACTCTTCTGTAGTTACATCGTGCACTAAGGCCGACGGAAAATGTAATGTTGTGATTTTCTAGGCTGATATGGCTAGGAACTATACTCTCATTCCTGCGTAATAATCAAGAAACTTCACTGTCGTACCATGAGTGCAGCAGGCGGAATGATATGACGCAGCGCCTGAAAATAGGCCACCTTCCTTCAACACAACGGAACTATTTTCAGGCGCTGCATCATATCTTAAAAGAAAAGGACTACAGTGACATCACTAACCCTAAAATGTACATAAACCCCGCCTCCGGGAACACACAGTTCATGTTGAGAAGAGGAAAAGTTGTGTATAAGAGTACATTTGTGAGTCAGCTCAAACTTTAGCACACTTCTTTTCACATGCAATAGAAAGTCACTCTGTGTGTATCTCACAACAGTTCCTATACGAGCGACTTATAGATTACCATGACAGAATATAGTTAAAGGATTAGTTCACTTTTAAAAAAACTTTTGCTGATAATTTACTCACCCCCATGTCATCCAAAATGTCCATGTCTTTCTTTCTTCAGTCGAAAAGAAATTAAGGTTTTTGATGAAAACATTCCAGGATTTTTGGAAGTCAATTCGTTCATTTCGTTCGTTAAATGAACGAATTGACTCGGAAAAAGATTCGTTCATTTTGATGAAGGAGTTCGAACAGGAGAGTCACACAGAACAGAGCAAGGCGAGCATTTGAGCTTATAAAACTTAAACTTTGTTATTTCTTTTTTAAATGAGCGATCGTTTCGCTTGATAAAACCCTTATTCATCGTCTGGTGTCGTTTAAAGCCCTTTGAACAGTTTGCAGTTTGCACTGAAACTGTCTTTTGGACCTTGAACCGTTTGGTGCCCAGCAAAGTGCATTATATGGAGAAAAATCCTGGAATGTTTTCATCAAAAACCTTAATTTCTTTTCGACTGAAGAAAGAAAGACATGGACTTCTTGGATGACATGGGGGTGAGTAAATTATCAGCAAATTTTTTTTAAAAAGTGAACTAATCCTTTAACTCCACATCAGCAACATAAATTCATCAACTAACCATTCAGAGACGTCCTGTTGCATTCTACATGTTGTCACTTCTTCTTGAGTCTCTCCATCTTTGTCTGACTCCGTTTTAACATTAAAGGCAGAACCGTTTCTGTCATTTTAGTGTGTGTCTGCGTGAGTTGATTGCAGCTGCTAACACACACGAGCTCTTGAAACCCCGCCCTCTGCAGCAGCTCATTTGCATTTAAAGGGCCAGGCAACGGTGCGTTTTTGCAAACCCTCAAAAAGTGACAACTTTAACCTGCTATATAAAAATATCTGTGGGGTATTTTGTGCTAAAACTTCACACACACACTCTGGGGACATCAGAGATTTATTTTACATCTTGTGAAAATGGCATTTTACCACCCCTTTAAAGGGATAGTTCATCCAAAAATGCAAATTCTGTTATCATTTACTCACCCTTATGTTGCTTCAATCCTGTATGAGTTTCTTTCTTATGTCAAACTAAAAAGAAGATATTTTTAAGAATCTTGAAAGTTCTTGAACCAGAAAGTTGACGGTAAGTCATTGACTTCCATAGTATTTTTTTTTCCTATTATGGAAGTCAATGGCTAACGTTGAATTATAAACATTATTCAAAATATCTTCCTTTTAGTTCAACCGAAGAAACTCACTCATACATGTTTGAAACAACATAAGGAAGAGTAAATGATGACAGTATTTTAATTTTTGGGTTAACTGTCCCTTTAACGTCAGTGATATGTCACCTCATACATTTTTATAGTTGAGGTTATAAAAAAATGAATGCCTGATGATAAATTTCTTACTGAAACTAATTTTCTTTAGTAGTTCTTCAGTTTCTCTTTGATTCACATTAATGATGTATTATTTTGCACATTTGCACAAGTACATTTTTGTCTTAGATGTGGTGCTTTGCAACTGTTCATTTTCTATCTGTGGCCAAAAATGTATATACACACTAGACTGGAATTACAATCAATGCATCACAAGCCCAAATGTTGCATTTCTGACAAAACATCATCAGAGCTTATTGAAGAAATATAAATGATTTGATATTACATACATTATTTGAGTATTTATTGTATTAGTAATTCAAATCAATTAAATGAAAATGTTAATACATATTTTATTATTAACATTGTATATTATAATTCCAGGGGTGTCTCACACATGCAGTTTGTGTCTGAAGACGTTTACTCAAGCGGCCGGCCTCAGGAAACACGTGCGCTATGTTCATGAAGGAGAGCGACCGCACAAATGCTCCGAGTGCGGGAGAGGATTCGTCAAACTCTCGGACCTCGCGCGTCATCAGCGCCGGCACCATTACGACCGGGGCGCCGAGCTCTTCCAGTGCTCCCAGTGTGAGCGCAGCTTCAGCCATCCCAGCAGTCTGGTTCTGCACCGACGCACACACACCGAAGAAAAGCACGAGTGCCCTCAGTGCGATAAGGTTTTCAGTCAGGCGGGACACCTGAAGGTCCACCTGCGGACTCACTCCAAGGAGAATAAACCCAAATTCGAGTGCCCTGAATGTGGGAAGAGTTTTGGCCAAGCGAAAGATCTGGTGGTTCATCAGAGGGTTCACACCGGAGAGAAGCCGTACCAGTGTCCTCAGTGCAAGAAGAGCTACCGACAGTTTGCGCATTTATCTGTACATCTGCGCAGTCACACGGGGGAGAAGCCGTACCAATGCCCCATATGCCTCAAATTCTTCGCTCATTCATCATCCATGAAGAAACACCTGCGTGTAATGCATGCGGGTACGCGAGAGTTTATCCGGAAATGAAAAATCGGTCATTTATTTGCTCACCTTCGTATGACTTTCTATTCTCTGTCTATATTAAAATGTTTTCCAGAGGGGAAGGATTTACCTGCAACCAAGGAGGTGGTGAAGGTCACCGTCGGCGTAGGCCCGTCTGACGCAACTGTAGACGTTAAGAAAGAGCCAGAGTCTGCTGATGAATACGGTAAGTATGGCTTAGGTTATGATAAACGGCTAATTCAAAAATATATAATGTGTATTTCTCATAGATGAAGGAGAATGTAGCCACCAGCCTCTCCTTTAAAACCAATGAAATGTGTGGCCGCACACTTCTGTGTATTCGAAGAAGCATTTCACCCTTTTAAGCATTTTCATCTAACTACTGTTGTACTTTTCATATCCATAAACAGGACTGACACCAAACACTTAATAACTTCTTCTGTGTACTTTGGAAATAAACGCTGCATCATGCACAACTGCTTTTGTGTACAACTTGTATGGTCAAATTTGAACTCACATTCCCAGTAAAAACTTGTTAAATAAAAAAAAGGTGATGGTCCCTTTTGAACATCCTGTTGACTTTGCAGTAACTTTGCAACTATATGTCAACTAACTCTCATTAGAGTATTAGTAGACTTTCTGCTTAATATCTGCAAACACTTTATTGTGATGATCCTCCAACAGACACTCTACGGACTATAAGTAATTTTGCAACTACATGTCAAGTTAATCTAACCAGAAAACCAGTCCATTAATACTCAACTAACACTCTAATGACAGTTAGTAGAGATGTAGATGCAACGTTACTTAGTCAACAGAATGTGTTAAAGGGACCATCCAAATAAAGTGAAACCAAAAAAATAATTATATATAGAGAGATTTAGAAAAAATTCAGTGTTGAAATTTGCATACAATAAACATGTCAAATTAATAGGGCTGCCCGCGACTAAAGATTTTTCTAGTCGACTAGTAGTCGTTCATTAGTTGACTAATCGCACGTTTATATTTATTTATTTACTGAAACATAATGAGCCTTTAATAAAGGCTGTATCGGCGTTATATATAGCCTAGCTTGCAGCAAAGCATGGTACAAGTCGATTATGAATGTGTCAGCAAAAATAGCAAGGAGACATTTTATATTTTATAAAAGGAGACCTTTAATAAACTAGTGTTTTCTGAGTCGGCTACAAAGATTAATTTGACTCGCCATCTCCGCATCGGAGGAAATGCACCATTCATACGGATTACATAATCAGATAGTAGCCTATTTGTTTAAATTGAATTGGTTAGTTTAAAAGTAGACATTTCAAGCTTTCTATAGATATGGTTTCGAATGATGTATTACTCTTCTCTGTATGACTAAAAATAACGGCGTATTTTAAGTTGTTTCCGCTGATATTAGGGATGTGTCTTCTATGTCATGCAGTAAAGCACACTATTCTTTATATACAAATACTTGGATATGCGCCTTATAATAGCGCACATTTATCTAGGTTAACGTTAGAGCGAGTAGCCATGTAAAGTTGCTACTACTTATAAATGATAAGCCATATTTGAGGTCTATAGTCGGCTTTTAAGGGGGCAGAAATTATTACTTCTTCCTGCAATGTAACTACACTGGTATGTGTTTGCAGAATGTCGAGTGAAATCTGAAGAAAACTGCTTTGCTATAATGGATGACGTGAAGGCTACTACAGTCTCTTCAGCTCCTTCCAGTCCAGTATCATCTGAGACTTTTAAAAATGAATGATGTGGATGGAAACCAGGGTTTCTCACCTTGCCAAACAACAGAGCACATTGAAGAATCTGCAGCATTTAAAAGCATTTTTAAGAAAAATAATTGTATTCTACACTTACTCCAGAAGCCGATCTCCATCCGTGAAGACTCGAATCCTATTGAGCGAGACTAAAAACTTTGATCAAGATCATCTACACCACGGCATTCACAACACCTGTGGAGATGATTACATTCACATGGAGATCAATCCCGATCAGTGCTCCTGATGAGAACCATCCAGTCTGGAGAACTTTTACATTCTGGAGGCCTCAAAAAAATGACCTACACATTTTTTTTTAAACTGTTGATGTATACATGAACTTTTGCCAAATAGGAGATCTTCGCCAAATTTATACTGGAGAGACGCCTTGACTTTTGGCATCTGCTGTGAGTAGAGCTTCCATCGGGAAGAAAAGAGTGGAATTTCTAAGGGGGCTTTCACACTGGCAGTTTAGTTCGGAACGGGGCACAGTTCGCATGAAAAATCGCTAATGTGAACGCTGTCATGGGACCCGGGTGCGCACTGGGGCACCGAACCCGAGACTACCTGGAGGAGGTGGTGTGAGTTCGGTTGCTCCCGAACCGTGCTGCGGTTCGCGTGAATGTGAAAGCAGCACGGACTCGGGTTCGTGATGAGTTGTTCATGAACGATCCGTTCATTGCGTCTGTCACGTGATAAATGAACGAACGACTCGGAAGGTAAATTCATTATTTATGATCCCTGTAAATAATTTTTGACTGAATTATAAGGATTTCTTAATTTAGAATATGATCAAGATTAAGTAGGTGGATGTGTTCGGGGAATGTGCCTGTTAAAAGTATAACATTTAAAGCCAAAGGAAATGACTCGTTCGTTCATTTTAATGAACTAGATCGAACAAGAGAGTAAATAAAATGATCCGAACTTCCCATCACTAACTCGGGTGCGCACTTGTTCAGGAAGTAAAGTGACCTGCGCATGCGTTTTAGCTCATTGTGATGTATTCAGTTAAATAAAACACTTGTAAGGGATGATAGTGTTGATGATTTACCTTGCGAGAATGAGCCTGCAGTGTATTCGTGCATTGCGCGTGAAATCAGGGCACCAAATTTGGAAATCCACCGTCTCCTCAAAAGAGTCCGTTTGCAAGCAACAGAAGGCCACCTTATGTGACACACGCACAGTAAACCTGTATTGTTCACTCAACTGCGCATAATAGCAGCGAAATAAAAAAAACACACAATATTGCCCCCCGTTCTGTTTTCTATCATGCGCCGTGCACGTTCGCGATGACGTAATATGCACGCAAACGCACCAAGGTTCGATAGAATCAAGTTGAGTGTGAAACCAGACCAACGCTGCGGGGGCGCCGGGAACAAAAGCGCTCGGGCTCGGACCGCAGCAAACGAGCCCAGTGGAAAAGCCCCCTTAATCTTGTTGAATGACCATGCAAAAAGGACGTTGATATAGTAGAGGGTTCTTCGATTCTTCTCCTGAAGGTCCCTCAGTTCAAACCATGATCAGGCTCTCCTGCCTGTAGTTTTCAAGTAATCTTTAGACCGTTATTAGCTTGTTCAAGGGTGTTTCATCTGAGCTAAACTCTCTAGGAGAATTGAACAAGCCTAATATAGTACGGAAACTTTAATGTCACGTTCCTGTTACAGAATCTGTGCTTGTCATTCTACACATTTCCTGACCTTTACATATTCATCAGTTAAATATTTTAACTCAAAGCTGTATTTAATACATTTTACCGTTTTTAAATCCATTCCACAGATTTTTTCCTCAAAAGTCAGTGTAGAAAATGTAAAGTCTGCAGATTCAGGATCTGCTTAAATGCCATGCAAGTGTACAACCGCCAACTCATTGCATTAATATTATAATGTATTACTTTGACCACCAAAGTTTTTTGTAATAATGTGTTTCTTTTATACCTGACATCTCATAATAGATGTAAATTAAATGAATGAATTCAAATGTTTTTTGAGTTTGTCTTGAAAATAGTTTTTCTATATATAATTTTTTTTAGTGGTCACATTAACAATTGTTCTCTTATTGTCTGCCTGTTTCTCTGGCCCTTTCCCAAATGACACCCTAAACACTCACGGTCTTCCTATGTTCAGGTTTGGTTAGAAATCTTTATGAATCCCGTTGAAGGGAAACTCATTTGCCCCCATTACACATCACAAACAATTAAACTAGGGCTGTCAAATGATTAATCGTGATTAATCACATCCAAAATAAAAGTTTGTGTTTACATAATATATGTGGGTGCACTGTGTATAATTATTTTATATATATATAAATACACAAACATGCTCGTATATATTTAAGAAATATTTTCATGTATATACTGTATATAGATTTATATATAATTTATATTATATATAAATATAAATATTTTATATATAAATAATATTTTTTTCTTAAATATACATGCGTGTGTGTATTTATATATATACAAAATAATTATACACAGTGCACCCACATATATTATGTAAACACAAACTTTTATTTTGAATGTGATTAATCACGATTAATCATTTGACAGCCCTAAATTAAACATTACAGCTCAATCAATCCATACGATAATTACCCAAGAATAAAAGACCTTCTAAATCGCTCAATAAAACACTGAGGCATCACTGATCTCTCACTAAATCAACTTTCCCTATGAGTTCACACTCTTGTGATATAATGCCACTTTAGAAGTCTGCAGAAAAGCTCGCTTCAGTGCGGGCTCAGCAAAAGTGTGTATCGAGGGCGCGTAACGACCGTAAAGGGGGCGCTCGCGAGCACAGTTCTGAAACCTAAAATAACAAATGGGACACTCTACAATCTCCTGAACCACACGATCAAGCGCATGTTGCGGCCATTATAGGTCCACAAGACCGTAAGTGCATATGAAGTGTGCCATTTGGGACAGGGCCTATGTTGTAATTAAAGGTATAGTTCACCCAAAAATGAACATTACCCCATGATTTACTCACCCCTAAGTCATCCTAGGTGTATATGACATTCTTCTTTCAGACGAATACAATCGGAGTTGTATTAAAAAATGTTCCGGGAGTGAATGGGTTTTTGTTTTTGGAAGTCCATCAAAGCGCATCCATCCCTGATTAAAGTGCGCCACTCGGCTCCAGGGGTTAATAAAGGCCTACTGAAGCGATGCGATGTGTTTGTGTAAGAAAAATATTCATATTTAAAACATTATCGACTAAAATAACTAGCTTCCGGCAGACGGCCGTACGCATCCATTTACGGGGGAAAGAGTAACACTTAATATATTAAGCTTTGAAAGCTTCAGTAATTTGTTTTTTTTAAATTCATTTTCGAGTGTATTCATAATTTAGCACCCGAGCCACTTAGTAAATTTATTCAAATACAAAACAGCAAAAGAGTTACCAGAAGCAGCACAAATCATAACTGTACAATACCATACTGTAGGACAAGCTTCGCACAGACAGCCTTTTCTGTTAAGAGCTCTAGACTCTAGAATTCATTACCATCTGACTTTAAGGTCATATCTGACTCGAAAAAGTTCACTTCCAGGATTAAGTTGTGGCTAAAGGCAAACCAAAACTGTAACCATTTTGTATGTATCTATTTATAATGTACTTAGAATGCCCAACCAGGGTCAGGAGTTGAAAATTAGCATTAGCTACAAACTCTATATGCTGCGCATCAGTTACAGGCTTTGTATTGTAACTATGTTTGACTGTATGGTCCCTGTTAAATAAATAACTAAATAAACTTGAACTTGACGCACAACGTAATGATGAACGCGGTTGCCCAGCCCTGTGTGTTTGAACCGCGAGAGGCGTCAAAGCTTACGATACTCCTGTTACTCTTTTGGCGTAAGTCAACTAGCGTACGGCCGTCTGCCGGAAGGTAGTTATTTAAGTCGATAAAGTTTTAAATATGAATATTTTTCTTAAACGAACGCATCGCCCCCAGAGCCGTTTCGAGCACTTTAATCAGGGATGGATGCACTTTGATGGACATCCAAAAAACAAAACCCATTCACTCCCATTATAAAGCTTGGAAGAGCCATTGTATTCGTCTGAAAGAAGAATGTCATATTCACCTAGTATGGCTTCAGGGCGAGTTAATCATGGGCTAATTTTCATTTTTGGGTGAACTATCTCTTTAAGGGCTATTTGCATGGTGTAGTTACAGCATCTACCAGAAGGGGTTAACTACTGAAGCCAACCAGCCAATCCTTGTTGTGGATGCTACAGTACCTGTGTCCGAATATGCCTAATCCCCTACTTTACAGTAAACATTACATGAGAAGCATGTAATTCACAGTAAAACATTTGGGTGCTACTTCCACAGGGATTCTGAAGTGCACATCCATTGGACACTTTACTATCCCGTGAGGTTGTGAATGGCAGTGAAGGAACACAACTGATGCCGTAGGTCACATAACAAATCCAACATGGCAAACGTGGTCCGTCTGGATTTACTGCACACATTCAGACTATATTTAATGGTTGTGAAGATCGTACCTCATTAAATGTAGTACCAACTCAGCATGACAGTATGCGATTTTGGATGTACTTCTTTCTAGACAAAAACAAAAGCTTAACAAGCCCAGTAAAATTCTGGACTGAAGAACACAACATTATGCATTAAATGGGCAACAACGTTGCCTGATCGTTTTTGGCGAGGTAAAAAAAAAAATCCTGCCACACCTTTTCATTAATATATCTTTATTGCTTGAATAGTTTTGATACAGAACAGCTTACATTTCTGATTCTGAAGCACTCATTCAAAGAACAAGAGTAGTGTACCAAAAATGTTCTGGTGATTCTGGTTCCATTCAAGTCCAGTAGAATTATTTTTGGGGATGTAGCAGCGACACGAAACTCCCTTTTACATCGGTCAACACGTCAAACAGCGACAGGTCTCCATTCTTCCAAAGAGACAGGGAGGATTAAAACAAGAAAAGAAAGAAAAACAGGGGAAAACGTGAACATATCTTGTAGAAAACCGAAGAGTGGAATGTGGATTTGATAACTCCACCCTGTTGATTTGAATTCACAGTCAAGTGCTAAAAAAGTAGTGATTGACAATTTAATATATTCAGAAATCATAGGTGAAGAACAATTTAGCAAGGAAAATGACGATTTGAGAAAGCCTTTTGTACGAACCCTGAGAGTGAGACAGGGTGGGGCGAAAAAAAAACATTTATAACTCAACAACATAAAAGGTTATCATGCAAACCTACCCTACAGATTCACCCATAGCAGAACAACAGTAAATTTCACAGTTTTACACTTAAAAGCATATATCAATGAAAACAACTTGTATCTCTCTGTCAAACTGAAATAATCATCATCATAATAATATAATAAAGATAACAGAAACAGACCACACATTCTAAAAAATAAAAATGCATACAAAGGTCTACATAAAGCTTTCAGATCAAAAGTGATTTTTATCATCAAGAACCCAGATCAAAGCTGGGATGCTAAGTATTGAATTTGAATCATTTTTTTATGCAGCATAATTGTGTTAATACATGGCTTCTCCACATTTACTTCTTCACCTGCACTGGGTCATAATAAATACATTAAAAACAGTCTGTGAGCATTCTTACCAGAAAACCAACCACTTCCACGCACAACCAACACAAAACACACTCTCATGAACCCAGGAAAAGGCATCGGGAGAAGCAGAAGTCCTGGAATACACAGATTGAGAAAGCGATTGCAATTGCATTCAAGTTCATCCAATACTACAAGTCTCCTGCCTGAGCAGAGATGTTAGATCTTCACCACTAGGGGGCGCACACAACCTGGTTTCCAATCAGGGGCAAATTCTCTCTCCATTGCCACAATTGGTTCATTTGCCTTCTTATATCATCCCGCAGGTCAACAGTCATTCGTTTGCTAGACGGTGGCTCCAGGAAATCAGAAGACCTATATTTGAAGATGCTCACCAGTCCATGCGATTTCAAACAGTCTTCATGCCCTTTGAGGTTTGCTTTGTTTGTGTCTGAGGTTTTTTTTTACAACATGAGTTCATAAAACTGAGAGGTCAAAGAGATCCAACACTACAAAAGAACGTGTGATTGACATGGGGTCCTCCTAGTTGAGGCACGTCCCGACAGGAGGCAGCAGGGCGACAGGGTTCAAGTACACCATGAATTTTAGTTCATGAGCCCGGCAGAAAGTGAGACACCTGCCTAGAGCTCAGAAGAAAGAGTAAGGCTTAAAAAGTGATGTTTTTGGAAGACGGGTCACCCTGGGAACAGGTACACATTTCATCATTTTTGTCAAGTACATCAGATTTATAACTCATGGGCTTCCTGTAATTCCTTATTGTTTTTTTGCTGTTGTTTTTGTGTGTTCTTAAGTAGCTGAGATAGGGCTTGAGGGACAGTAATTCATGAGCCCTCAAGTTAAAAACATGCCTTCCCTCATTAAAAACCACCTCTTTGTGCCAAAAAAACAAAACGCTAATGCTAAGGACATCTGACACAATCAGCACAGCTGGACATTCATCACCTATTTTTGGGCAAACATTGCCCATATACTTTACGTCATAGCTGTTAAACACCTTTCCAAGTATGACCCTCAGATCTTTGCTGGGCTGTTTCCCCCCAAAAAAAAATCTCTACGTGACATAGCACCCAGAACAACAGAGCTCATTATTGTAATAAAACAATTACTCTGGAAGCCATTGTCATTAAAGGATTTACACAAAATGGGAAACTACTGGCAAATAAAGGGAGGACAAACAGCCACGAAGAAGCCCTGTGGTGAACAAGTCGTCTGCGTATTCCAGTTATGCACTTGGGTGCGAGCCTCTCAGTAGAAATATCTTCTCTTGTTAGTCTCAGCCTTCGCTGAATAGGCTATAAACCTGCTTTTCATAAGACAGTTTTCACTGTCGCTGAACTGTACAAAACGATATGCAAATTTGTTCATATATTGCTTATTGTAGTTCTCTCAGGATTCCACAAAAAAAAAAAAAATCACAACGATCATTGTAAAATACTATAAAAATCAACTTTAGATCATGATAAATGCTGATAAAGATATAGCAAAAAAAGTAGAAAGGCACTTGGAAACAGTCATCGCTTTTTTCACTGCAATGTACTTTTGTTATATATGGCACTGCTTCTTGTTGCAGCACAATGTTTCACAACGTAAAGATAAACCAAGAAAGAGTCGCTCTTCACTTCACCCCAAGCCGTGGCGGTTCGGAGGTGGGCAAAATGTGCTCAGTAGTGGGATTGGTGTGGATCTCCAGTAAACCTTGGATGAATCCCTCCGACGGCTCTACGTCAGATGTGTTGGATGAATCTGATGCTTGTTCCTCTGCTGAAGGTTCTTTGGGTGTTTCTGGTCCCGTCTCGGAAGTTAGTTTAAACTCTTCAGTTTCCACAGCGGGTACACAGTCCTCTTTATCCATTGAGGTTGGTTCCCCCTTAACAGTGTCTGTTATTTCACTTTCATTCTCAGAGGGTGGATTGGTGCTGGTGGGTGTGCACTCGCCTTCGCTAGCCGAACGCCCACTGAAGCCCTCCTCGTCGGGTCCACCTGCGGCCCCACAAGTCGAACCATCACTATCCACTCCACGTAGTTTCTGGTGGATACGCTGATGTCGGACTAAACTGTGCTTGAGGGTGAAGGTGCGCTCACATGTCTGACACTTGTAAGGCCTCTCACCTGGTAGAAACGAGACATTGTAAAATAAAGTGTTACCAATGTTTCTTATTAAAAGGTCAATTTTTTAGTGCCCTTGTTACATATGTTCATGTACTTACCATTGTAATAACAGTCAATTATGCATAATTACATGCAACTAACTCTCAACCAAATCCTACCCTAACCCTATAGTAAGTACCCAGTAACACTAACAATGACACCTTAAAATAAAGTGTAACCGAAACATTTAGTTATCAAACAAGAGCTGTCAGTTCTTATGAATGATTTACCAATCTAAGCATGTTTTCAGTTTTGTCTTTACCTGTGTGAGAGCGCATGTGTCTGGTGAGATCCTGAAGGCTCCAGAAACGTTTGTTGCATATATTGCACACCTTTTTCCTCTTGTCTGGCTTGCTGCCAAGTTCTCTACTTTCTCGCTCGGCACTCTTTGGTTCAGTTGCAGCTTCCTCTTCATCACTCCTCTCCTCCTTATCTTCCTCCGATCCACTCTCCACCACACTGCCCGTTCCCTCGTTCTCAGATGTGCCCTTCTTTAAGCTCTCCACCTCTTCGTCTGTAACCTCTTTCTTATTTTCACAAGGCACAATTGGATCAGCCGATTTTGTAAGGTTTTGTGCAGGTCCATTAGTCGAGTCTGATGCTTCATCCTGCTGGTGAACTTTCTCATGTCTGGTCAGGGTGGCAGCGTAGCGGAAACTCTTCTTGCAACTTTTGCAGGTGAATTTGGACTCATCTTGAGGTGTTTTATCAGACATGTCACCATCTGCTGCAGGGGAGGACTGTGGCTGGTCTTTCTCAGTGATCTTGAAGTCCTTTGGCTTAGAGACAAACGTCAAGTCAAGGGTCTTATTGCTATGGGAATCACCATCCTCATTTTCTGAGTCACTGTGCTTCAATGACTCGAGAGCTGTTGGGTCCTCCTCCTCTTTGTGAGGAATAGGCTCTACAACAGCTGCTTCTGTCGGCTTAGCTGGTGAGGGTTTTTCAGCATCCATTGCTTCAGGCTTCTCAGGGTCTGATCTTGTGAGATCCATTGCCTCACTCACAGGAAGGTCTGTTTCAGATGTGCTCTCTAAAATATAAATTGACACTTTACACATCAGGTAATAAAGTGCAGTTTTAACCTCAATGGTTAATCAACAGTTAAAAATATATCACCGTTTATAAGCAATTTAAAGTTTGTATATTATTTTTGATACCTGCACTCTCTTGTGAACCTTCCTCTGCGTCTTTAGACTTGGGTATTCCACCATTGCGCCTAAGCACTCGGTTGGAAACGCCATGCTTGCGTAAAAGATGTCGCTCACAGTTGGACTTGGTCGAGAAGAAGGCATCACATTGGGGACAAGGATATGGCTTCTGACCTGTTTAAGAAATTCAAAATAAAAGCAAGAAAATAAATTACACATACTATGAGGGGTAACATAGAAGGTTTACATTAACTCTGTACACCCTTGTAGTGCTGTAGTCTGTAAAAATGTACATAAGAGTCACCTGTGTGTGTTAACATGTGGCGCTGAAGCGAACTGGCCCAAGGGAAAACTCTGGGGCAAAAAGGACAAGTCATCTTTTGCACAGAATTTGAGTATGCATTCTTCTTCCCTTTGGACTGATGGGGTTGAATAGTCTGCCGGACTGGCAAGTGTTTCTCATCTTTCACCTCTTTCTCGTCACTAGCACCTGGCTGCTGCCCGTCTTTTCTTGCCAACTCAATTGTGTTGGTCTGAAGATAGGCACTGAACTTGTTGGCATCAGTGTTCGCCAACATTCTCTCAACACTTGCAAACTCCCCACTAGACTCCAAATCAATACTTGGGTCTGTGGCATTTATAACAGTTTTCTCTTTCGCTATGCTTCTGGAAGCCCTTTTCCTGGACCTCTTCTTGGAGCTCTCTACAGAGAGCTCCTCTATCAAGGTATCTGTTGACTCTTGCTTGCCATGTGTATCAGAATCAGCCTGAAGGCTATTAGTGTTGTCCCGTTTTAGAAGGTCAGGGGCACCAGAAACAGAGGAAATGATCTGAGCAATGGATGCCAGTGGTGGAAGCTCCTTCTCAGCAGCAGAAGAAGGTTTAGGAAGCAGGGGCTTTAGACGCAAGGGTCTTCCTGCAGAATTAGTGCTACCAGTAAGAGAGGTCAAGGCTACGGGGACCTGGTAGCATCCAAGCGGTTGGGGCTTCTCATCAATGGACTTATCAGTCTGAAGAGCCTGAGCAAGGATGCTAATGGTTGAATGTTCTTTCTTAATCTCTCTTGGCAATACAGCCTCAATGTCTTGTTTAAGCTTTTTCAGAGGATTCTTAGGAATTGAGAGGTCAATGGGTTCCATGGAAGAGTCATAGGAGACAGGCTCAATTTTGATCCCGGGTGATCCACTCACACTTCCAACACTGCTTCCCCCACGACTTTTGTTAGAGAAGTCCAGAGGTTGATCCATATCCACGCCGTAGAAGTTGAGGTCTTCAACCTTGATAGGCTGCATCACAGTGCTAGGAGAAACCCCATTGAGAGGAGATGGGTTTGGGCTATTTTGGGTTGAGGCAGCTAGAAGAGTGATTATGTGCTCTTCAATATCCTGCTCTTGGACCTCTGGATGTTGTTTGAGAAGGTGATGGATACAGTTACGCTTGGCAAGGAAGGCTGCTCCACAACGCTTGCACTCAAATGGCTTTCGCTGGCAGCCGTTGTGTGTTCGCAAGTGAATCTGCAGGGCCCGGAAGGTCTTTAGGTCCTCCCCACAGAAGCGGCATGTGGTTTCACTAGTCCCAGCCTGCTCCAGCACATCTGCTGTGGACGTGGACGAGGTAACATACTTGATGTTTTTCTCAATCTCCCTGCGATTGTTTTTCATGTGCTTTTTGCGAAGATGGCGCTCACAGTTAGCCTTGACAGTAAATGGGTAATGACAGAGCCGGCAGACATAGGGCCGCTCACCACTGTGCGTTCTCAAATGACGGATCAATGTAGCCTTGTCTGGAGCAACATAGTCGCAGATATTGCATTGGTGGGGTAGGATGCCCAAATGATATCGCATGTGTGCCTGCAGCACACCAGAGAACGCAAAGACCTGGTCACAAAATCGGCAGGGGTATGAGCCTTTTTGAGTTCCTCCCTTCTTTACAGTGGTCTCATCTAACTTGCCATTCTCCTGCTTGATATGTCTTTCATCCATGTCCATTGGGGTATGGGCATCTCCCATGCAGTCTGCCTCCATTTGTATCCTCTCTGCAGAAGCCTGGTTGTTGGCAGAAGAGGGAGAGGAAGATGAGGAGAGATCCCTTGCTGTCTTGAGAGGATGGCTGGCAGGGGGTGGGAGGCTAGGGCTGATGCAGCCCAGTGAAGCTTGCTGGGTGTTTAATAGAGGTGGTGGAGTTGAAGCTACCATACTGGTTCTGGGAGCCACCAATGGCTTTGGCTTGAGAGGAGGCATCTGCTTGTAGCCCGACTGCACAGCACTACAGGGTGCCTTGGATAAGGGTGGGAGCGAGATTTGGTTAGGAGCAGCTGAAGCTACTTTGAGTATTTGCTGTATATCAGCGAGCTCCATGCCGGATTCACCACAAACAGGCTTCAACACCATACCACCATCTGGCTGCACCAGAAAACCTGTCTGGAAAGGCTGAAGGGACAGCAGTTTGAGAGCTTCTTGATGGGACAGTCCGTGAAGAGACGCTGGGTCTACAAGAGACAGGTTAACCCCACCAACAAGGCCAGCCTCTTGAGGTACGGTGGACTGATTCGGATCTACATGGATAACCCGGATGCTATCTAGCTTGGCCTGCTGGATATCCTCTTCTGAGGGGGCAGGCTTGATCTGAGAGATGTGCTGCAAGCCCAGGGAGTCCATGAAGCTATTTTTCTCAGGAGTGGGAAGCTCATCTTTCATAATTAAGGGTGAAGTGGTCTCTTGGGTGCCACTTGAAGTCTCATGTGAGGCTTTGTGCAAGTCCAGAGCTGAGCTAAGAGGGAATGCCTTATCACATGTGTCACATACAAAACGATGGAATTTGCCAGTACATCGGCGGAGGTTTGTTTCACACCAAATCTGTGGGTCAAAATAAAACTGAAACTTAACAAAACTCGCATATTACAGTCGAGACAAAGAACTTTTACAAGCTGTGCAGATTAACCACAGAAAAGTTGACAATGGGTTTTACCTGGGCAATACGAGGGAACTTCTGGCATGTAAAGTCAATGAAAGCCAGATCATTAAAGCCAAGAGGGATGGATGGGTTATTCTGTATAAAGGGTCGTCCATTGGGGTCTGTGGGTATCTGCTTATGGGTAGCTGCATTGTGGCGGAGCAAACTTCGGTGTGTCCGGAATGAAATGCAGCATGAATCACATCTAGGAATAAGAATGCTTATGTAAGGTGTTGATTTCAAAGATACACCACACACATTGTTTAAATCTATTTGTAGTTAACCAGCATGTTGTATATGCATAAATTCATGCTCAATAAAACACTGACATAATTATTATTTATCATTGCCCAAATTCTTCAAGAAATACAGTGCCCAATCTACAGTGTGCTGTGGAAATGCATCCTAGACATCCAAAATATATCTGGGATTTCCTAGGTGAGTTTGAAAGTCAATAGTAATCACACCCTAGCCTACAATTGCTCTCATTCAGTGTTTATTGGGTGCTGCAAAAGACAGCTGGTTAATGTCTGTGCACTGGTCTTGTCACATGTCCTGCCCCTGATCATGGTGATGACGTGTCCATAGGGACTATAAGCAGCTTTTATCTGAGCAGACATACACAATGCAATGCAAGGCAGAGCATAGCAGCGCATCCACCTGAGATGCATAATGAGCTAAAGTGCTAACCGGTTAAAGATTACTGCTTGTGAATGCTTTAATACATTTGGTCAGAGTTGCATGATAAAATAATGTAAATCAAAATGGAGAAGCAAAATCTAGCTGTTCAGCTGTTCTGTTACAAAGAGTTCAAGCACTGTTACATATAATTACACTAAACCATTCCCTGTCCAGGATGCTGTTGTTTCTATTGGCTATTTTGCAATGGCTTCAAACGTGGCTCATCCAATCAGATTTTAGAGTTGGTTCTATTCATTTTATTATTGCATGCATGTATGGGAGTGTCTGCCTTCCTTGGAAGGGCTGTTTGGGTGAGACAGATAACATGTCTGTATCTTGAAAAGCATTCTTGTGTCTGTTTGTACGTGTAAGTGTGGTTATTTAGCTGCTTTTAGAACTCTTCAGAGTGGAACCCAATTCACAGCAGTCTAGATCCTCTTAACTAGCACTCTTAGCTCTTGTGATTACACAGGATTAGTGCTAAATTTGCAGCACTTCCATACAACAATAACTCTGCTCTGAAACTCAGACAGGCCCTGCCAACTTCCTTTACCCAGAGCAATCCCATACAGCTATCCATTAACTAGAGGAGCTAGCCATCGGTTGGGTGATTTTAGAGGTATAGTCTACAGACTGATGTCTCCAAGGATACAGATACCACCTCACACACATGCATGCATGCACACACACACTACTACAGAGATGTCCTGTAGAATGCATCTTGCTGAAGTCTCCTCCTGTGTCTCATTAAATCCCCCCCCCCCCCCCGCCACATAACCTCTGTGGTCCCTCCCCCTCCATTTTCCCTTCTTTCCTCTACATGCCACTCCCTTGCCTCAAGCCTGGGGGCCAAATGCGGGGGGTGGGTTGGGGGGAGATTGGACCTCTTAGGCCTCTCAAGAGTGGGAGGGGGACACGTCGACAGGATTACACTCATGTAGGTATGATCATTCTCGGCCAATTACATTTCAATAAGCAAAACAAATATAGCTTAAAATCCAAACTCTGACACTCAGAAGGCCAAACCTGTAAAACAAGATTTCTATCTGAACCAAACTAATGTTTTTTACACATGTAGCACAATATAAAAGGCAAATCCCACTGAAAAAACAATCCCTTGCTTATATAATTAATAACCAAGAGGAGTTGCGCCCTCTGTATTCGGATGTGTTAAATTATGACTGTACCAGCACAAAGCATGCCACCATATCTCCCAGCAACTGCAGGGATCCAGCCTAAAGCCTCAGCTACTGGCGTCTCCCTGCAATACAACTCTCACCTCGAACAAAAGGGACAACATTCCTGTCTGAGCTTAATGGACAGCTATAATATACTGAACAGAAAACCGAGTGTAGGAAGGGCCAGAACTGTTCCATTGTCAAACTCTAAACATTCCTTTGTTATCAAGCCTGAAATAAACTCATGCCTCTTCACAACAATACATTTACTATACTGATGCATGTGTTTGTACCTCAGTGTAGTGTCGGGATGGGTCTCCATGTGGGTGTCAAAGTCGTTTCTGCATGTGAGGTTCTTGAAGCAGATAGGACAGGCCAAGACTTCCTCCTGTCCTTTGTTCAAACTCTGCTCATCTGCCCCACTATCCTCCAGGACCTGCAGCACACAGGTCACTGTCAGCTATTTGTAGCTTAATTTGGGAGCACCGTCCTGGGGTGCAGGTAGCACTGGGTAAGATGGTGGATCCACACTTACCTTTTTGCTGGATGGCTCCTCTGTCTTCTCTCGGTCTTCATCTGGGTTTAGTTTGCGTTTGGCTGCAGAGGGACGTCGCCGCTTAGGTGGAGACAGAGTCGGACTGTTGGGGATGGAGCTGGCAGAGTCCTTCTCGTGGATCTTCATGTGTCTGAAAACAGATGAAAGAGTCCTTTAAAACTGCATGTTGTGTGTTAACAAACCAGCTGTCAGATTTATCGATCATCACAAATGATTATGATCTCTGAAAAATGCTTGGGCATTTGTGGAACAAATGCTTGGGAAGTAGTTGCATCTTGAGGACATTTCCAGCTGCCTCCCACTAGTTTGATGGATGAGTAATTAATGAATAATAATCTAGAAATTTAGGGTAGAGGAACCCCTGTTCATCCCATTGGGAGCCAACAGAAATGACTGTAATGGGAGGATGCTAATGGGCTGGAAACTCCTGCAATTATCCCGCAGACTCTATATGTGCATATGTAGAGTCCAAGATGGCGGGTTGAGATCAGCGGAAGAGAGCGGTAATGTTGCATGGAGAGGGCAGGAGTTGATCCTCTATTTTCCAGAGAGATTCTGAGGAAACCAGTGAGGATACAAAGGAAGAGGAGGCCCAAAGAAATCAGGATGCCTGACTTAAGTAATAGCTTCAAGTCCACTGTTGGCTAAAATATCACAAATTCATTTAGTTTTTCACTGAACTCACACAGAGACAAAAAGATTTATACTTATAGTACAATCAAAGATTACATTTCAATGAAACATGTCTGCTGGATGTCTGCTCCACCCAAAGTTTATATCAGTGTACCTATAAAAGTTTATCTTATGAAAGTACTTTGGAAGTGTACATGCATGTGCAAGTGTAAAAAAGGTCAGACATCCCATGGTCTTGAGGTCTCAGTTTTCACTCTGCAGTCAGTGGTTTATTAATAGCAAGCAGCATGTTGGACACTCGTGTGAGGATCTGACAGGCTGTTATATCTCTCTGCTCTGGACTCTGACCTTGCCTTTGACCAATCACAGAAAACCAACACTGCCAAGTCAGCAAACTGTGATTGGATGGAAATCACCACCACTGTAACCTCATACACAGGATGACAACTTATCCACTGAAAAATACTAATTAGTTGAATATTGCTAGTTTATAGTAATATGACTGAATCTGAGTCATGCAGAACAGTTTCAATTAAATTGTAATGAGTAATGTGGCGGTAATGTTTTTTCAAATTGCACTAGACTAAAGTTTCCTGTCCTTGAATGAAGGATATCAATATGGACATTTCATGAGCAGGCTGGCTAATCTGTAAAGGATCATAAAACTTGTTGATGCATAAACAGGTTCATTCCATCCAATCCAATCCAATCATTCCATGGTGTTCCCGCAGAGCACAGACAGAGGGCACTGTGGTGTCAGAAAGTTACTTATTTTCCATGCAATGTCAAAGCAAGGGCACCCCTTTAAACCTATGGCTGTTCAGTGGAGTAGCTAAGACTGAAGGAGTTAAAGCAAATAAAAGCAGCCAATCAGAACGCACTTTGACTCTCTTCTGTGAAGTTGTGACCTTTCTCCATGGCAACAGTGACTCCCTCCTTCTCCTCCCAGCCCTCCCCCCTCCCCAACCATGTGATGCTTTGGCACAAGATGGCTGATTCCTTGCCAACTACATGGACAACTTCCTTGGTCATACATGAGACCTCATAACTATCAGTTAACTTATTTTAGCACTGAAAAAAACACTCACACACTGCTCAACAAATATTTTTAAAGGTGTTCATGAATACAATGAGGAGCAAAAAAAAAAATGTGGGGAAAACTACGAAAGAAGTGAATGTAGCCGAATATTCTAACATACATTATGTAATTCATAACAAATCACAATTAAACTTTGGCATGTACCTTGTCCAGCACTGTTTGTGCTAAAGACGTAAGTGATGGGAAGTTTTGCTTGTAAGATTACACAAAAAATATTACAATTAGTAAGTAACCACCCAGAACACCCTAGCAACTACCCAACTACACACTAGCAGTGTGTACATTTTCTTTATAGTCATCAAAATTAAAACAGATTACGAAGAACACAAGACGATGAGAAAGATGAGGAAATGTTATTAGGACAGTAACAGCTGATGTAGTAAATCCAGATTCCCTTCACATCCGTCACAACACATTCCTTGCATATCAAAGGTGGTGTAGTACATCCAATTCCACCCTACAATTTCACTTTACTTCTGCTTACTACCAGATAACAAGCCATCCTACCCTGCAGGCCTTGAACAACATACTAAGAGCTGTCCACACAAATACACACACAGATTCCCCATATGCTCTTCACCATCAACCTCCACAACCTTGGGAGGAAGTTCATGTTTACCTCCTCCATCAGCAAGGCCTGCTGGGAGAAGATACCATGACCAAAAGTGGGGAAGCGACGGGTGGGGGAGGTGTTTTAAAGTCACCCTTCGCTTCCTGCAACTCTCTCTCTCTCTCCTTAAACAAGAGCTACATAGCTGACAAACCCCAGTGGTAACACAAGTATATGACCACCAACATACACAAACAAACCAACGCCTTTTCATTTATCTTTGTGGCACACTCATCCTCTGGGCAACTCTTCAACGCAGGGCCAGGCAAAGGCAGGGTGAGGCCTAAAGGATGCAATCAACCAACAAGCTTTCACTTCTCTAAAAACAAAACAAAAAAAACCAGCATATATATACTTGAGAAATTCAACTTCTCAAATTATTAGGGCTGTCAAAAATAATTTAGATTAATATTTTCTATTTAACGTGTACAAACATTTAATGCAATTAACACAGCATGCCTAGCGTTACAGTATACGATCACATTAGAGCTGCACGATTCTAGATAAACTGAGAATCAAGATATTTTTGTTTCAAACACATCATGATCCTCCCACAATCCTGAACAGGCAACTTCAAAAAAAAAAAGAAGTAATTTACTAGAGGTTCTGACAAGTGTTAATTGCTGCAGTCTATTTAAAAATTTTAATGAGTTAAAATGAATTAATTATTTTTTTTAAATGGTTTGAAATAGAGCTGCACGATTAAACATGAAATCACGATTAAACCGATTTGGCTTATTGCGATAATGAAATCGCAAATGTTGCGATTATTTTTTATGCGCAGCTTGTTAGTGAAGCACGGCTCTGTAATCAGTAGCAAATGATTAATGCTCCGTCTGAAAGCACTGCGAATTTGAGTCACTTATAGCGTGCAATTGAAAAAGCAACACGCGTCAAATATCTTTCCAAACATGAGAAGCATTTATGAACCTCTTGTCCAACAAAAGACAACATTTAATAACATGTTTTTACTCCAAACTCACTTCATAACGACAGTTGAGCATCCTTCTGTGTGATGATGTGGCTTCTTACACAGAATAAGGCACACAACATATTATTTCATAGTATGCTATACAGTGATAAAGGCCATGTCGATTAGCATTGAAGTATAAATATACTTTATTATCATGAAAAAGGCTTAAAGCTGCAGTCGGCAAGTCTGGCAGATTGAGTGGACTTAGGCAAAATTTTGAATGTTTACAACTCTCATGGCCCTCCCCCACTATCAACGGAGACCCTCCCACTGAGTTCGTGCTCGTCAGTGTGTGTGCACCAGGTTATCTGTGAACGCGCCCGTCTCATCAGCATCCATCAACACCATGGAGTATTTGGAGGTACGCTAAGGCTAATCTACCGATAGATTGCAATTGCTAACGTCTTTTATACTCTAAATGAGCTTACTTGATTTGTTAGTGTTTTGAAAGCGAGATACATCCGCCATCACTCTTCGTTACTGCGCCAACTTCCGGCGTGTGCATGTGATTGTAACGTGCGCGAGAGGTGGCGTGTGCCCGATCTGTGATTGACAGTCAGATCTCACACCCCCCTGCGCTGATTGGACCCGATGATCCGGGAGCGGTGGATTTTTGCAAAACAAATAACACACTCCAGGTGGAGTTAGAAGCTCGGGTTTTTTTCTAAAACCACTTTATTTATGTTGTTCTGTCGGATTATAGTGTCGATTACACTGAATATAATAAAAAAAATTTTTGCCGACGGCAGCTTTTAAGAACTTAAAAACGTTTCAAACTTCTGTTTATTCAGCTACAGAGATAGTAGGGGTGTAACGGTACACAAAAATCACGGTTCGGTACGTACCTCGGTTTTAAAGTCACGGTTCGGTACGTTTTCGATACAGCAAAAAGTAAGAAATGCCAGAGAAATTTCCTATTTGTTAAAAGAAAATATTTTTTTTTAAATAAGTGTGAGTTTTCCTACATCTTGAAACTTTCAGGTTTATAAATGGGTGTCATCTTTGAAGGATGAACAATAATGTTTTGGTCATCACATTAAAAATAACATTTAAATATATGAAGAGTTCAGATGCAAAAGCCATTTGAAATTTTCTTCTAGAATGATCATTTTTATCAAGCTTGTATATTTAAGTTCAGTAATTTCACTTAAATGGCAATGTAGATTACCTATTAATTGTCATTTGAGTGAAATTACTGAACTTAAATGTACAAGCTTCATAAAAATGATCATTCTAGAAGAAAATTTCAAATGGCACTTAGAGGCTTTTGCATCTGAACTCTTCATATATTTATTATATAATATTTTAGTTTTGAAGTGCTGGAAAAAGATGTGTGAAGTACTTGAAAGCATTTCACTATTCCAGCCAAACTGGTTACAGTTAGTGTTATTGTATTAAATCCATGGTGAATGTTGCTGGTCTGTGGATGTAAAGCATTACTAGTTCATTCACGGCACAATGTTTCTCCTGGTTCCCACGTCAGCGCTGTTTGATCTAATAGAGAGCTACGGTTAATAACGGAGAAATGTGAATGCTTCTCACTAGATCTCGCAGCGATGTTATTACTTCAGTGGCGAACTCAAATGTTTTCTTCACTGGATCTCTTAGCGCTGTGTTGTAACAGTGTCGCTTGATCGAGATCGGCGCGCGCTGCACAGATGTTGCTGGTCCGAACTAACGATCCTTGAAGCACAATATAATGAGTAGCGCAGTTTCGTTCCGCTTTCATTACGCTTGCCATTTGATGTTGCGCAACGTTGTGGTGATCGCGCCATCCGAATTTTGTCGGCAGGAAAAATCGTCCAAGGAATCGTTCGGTTTGTATGCGTACCGAAGCGGAAGACTCGTACCGAAACGGTTCAATACGAATACATGTACCGTTACACCCCTAAGAGATAGTATGATGCACAGAGGGATTTCCTGGAATGACGTGATTTATCGTAATTCTGCAGGGCTTCTGCTCAAGAGCGCCTTCTGGCTTTCAGATGGAGCAGAATTTACTACTGATCACAGAGCTGTGCTTCACTGACAAGCTGTGCATTTAAAAAAAACAAAAAAAAACACCGCAGCCTTTGCCAAATCCAGTGCCGTTTCATTTAGATTAATGCATCCCTAGTTTAAATTAATGATTTAATGACTTGCTCATAAATACTGGACTTGTTTCATTACTGGATGAATCAGCATTTTTTGATAAATACATTTTGGTGGCGTAACGATGCAATCGATAAAATCGTTATTTGAAGCGCTATGCTGCTTTCAAAAGGTGATTTCGCTTCCGTAGACATCAGTGTTTATATCCGAACTATAAACTTTTATCCAAGTTCTTCTGTGATAACATGAATATTTGTAACATGGAAATAATGATACTGTGTGGTTGAAAAGACTGTTTATGAAGCTGTTTCGTACCTGATCGCCAACACAGATCTGAATGTTCTGTTCTGGAGCAACACCCTGGTAACAACCCAGAACACCCTATCTCATGGTGGTGTGTTTTGCACAACTCACATTTCTTCATGTAAATATGTAGTTACCACTTGGGTCTCCTTGTTTTAAATTTGGATCAGCATGAAAGCAATTAAGGAATAAAATAACTGCATATGACTTATTTTGCTTGCTCACAAACATATTAAATCCACTAAGACACAAAGTTAATGCTAAGCTTGGGATTACAGCTCATTGTTGAGTATTTAAGCAGAAGGTATGACGACACATTAGGGCGGATGGCACATCTCCCTTCTCTTAAATCACACACATATACAGTGACACATCTTACTCATAGCTATGTACAACTGCATTTAAGACACGCTGAAATTGAACAATCAACCATTCTCAAAGGTGTGTGACTGTGTGTATGAAATTATAAACTAAAACCTGTCAAAATAATAAATGGATAATTACACTATTAGCTGAAAGTCAGCATGAAATCAAAATTAACTTTCTAAATAAATGCACAATTCATCAGTATGAAAAAAAAGTTTAGTGTAAAAAATAAATAAAAATCAACTCTCAAAAGAATTTACTGACATAACCATAAGACGAAGAAAAACTAAATTAAGTATTAGAGCCATAAAATCTTCACACCCTATCGAAATCTAATTACATCCCAATGTAAAAATCCTATGTTATTTCCCCCTGAATCTTCAATATTCCTCAGAAATTCATTACATTATGGAGGTTAAATGTGTGCAGTGTCATGTCATCTTTGAGCAATGCAATCTCCTGTTAAAACAAGATCAATTCTGGCGTGCCATTTAAAATCTTCAACCTTAGGGACAGCCTTATCTTGGCTCCAGATAGCAAAATGCAAATAATTTAGTTTGAAAACCAAGACTCACCTGTGCATGTTGCCATTGGTAGTGAAAGTCTGATGGCACACACTACATTTGTAGGGTCTCTCTCCACTGTGCACTAGCATGTGACGATCCAGAGAGCTAGCCGAGCTCAGAGACTTCCCGCAGATACTGCAAGAGTGGTCCGCATTCCCACTATCGGTGTTGTGCTGGAAAAAGGAAATTTGGGTCAGCTAGCAAACACTAAAGGCCAAGTTCTTCAATATATTGTCTTGTCTAACTCTCCCAGATTGTCCGACGAAGCATATTCTGAAAATACTTGGGACAAATGGTACATGACTTTATTCCATCTTTGCTGACTTGCATACAGACTTTAAGAAATCAACAGGTATGCAACAGTATATTGAACAAATGAATCAGGTGTGCATGTTACCTGGCGGATGTGCATGGTGAGCTGGTGTTGGGTCTGAAAGCCTTTATCACACAGCGGACAGACAAGTACCCCGCTGTCATCTTTGGCTTCCTGAAACAAATGTATACAAGGCAAAATGTCTGAGTTATAGATCTCCATAGTATACATTGTGTTATATTATGTGACAAACGGTGTTTTAAGGCAATTTCACAGCAGAGATTTGGTGCGGACGCAAATCTGATGTCTGGTTGGCACGAAAGCTGTTTTCAGGACTCGGATGCACACCAGAGTCTGTTTAAAAACAAATATTTCAAGAGTATATCTGCTAAAGGTTTGTCAACGTTTTCGGAGTACACTATTACATACAGTAACACTAAAAAATGTGGGGATGGTGAGATTTTTTTGATGTTTTTGAAATAACTTATGCTCACCAAGGCTGTATTTATTTGATCAAAAACAGTAAAAAACGTAATATTGTGAAACATTACAATTTAAATCATATAAAATATTTTAAAACTTAATATATTCCTGTGATGGCATCATTACTCCAGTCTTCAGTGTCACATGATCCCTCAGAAATCTTTCTAATATGATGATTTGATGCTCAAGAAATATTACTGATTATTATCAATGTTGAAAACAGTTGTGCTGCTTCATATTTTTGTGGAAACCGATACATTTTGCAGTATTCGGTTCAAAAGAACAGGCTTTTTTATGTATTTACTGTCCCTTTTGATTACTTAAATGTGGCTTTGCTTAATAAAACAATATTAATTTCTTTATAAAAAAAACTTTTGAACTGTACACTCAGGGTGTTTTCACAGTGATGCCATTAAAAACCAACAAGTGTTCAGTTCTTAAAATAACAAAAAAAAAAAATCTTACTGAGAAGAACATTTTAATTTAATTTAAGAACTTTTTTCACTATATAGAAACTTTTGTGCAATGGAAAGATTCCACGGATGCTAAAGTTTCTTCATTGAACCGTCAAAGCCAATAAAAAAAACTTTATTTTAAGAGTTTAGAGTAGAAAGCCACAAAACATATATTAGCAAAATGAATAAATCTAATCCTTCAATGATAAACAATAAAAGCCCGTCTTTTCGTATAAACCCCAAATGCCATCGTTAAAAGAGCGTGGGTAAAAGCCCATATGCAGGAGGCAGGGAGTGAGGCCTTGTCTTCTGACCTTGAATGTCTTGTTAGAACATGTTGTATGTGTGAGATACTGAGCTAAATTCACTCTGTTAAATAAACACTTGCTCAGCCCCGGGAGCTGCATCAGTCACTGCTGCACAGACACCGTACTATCACAAATATACCACCAGAATATAGTCACACTTTTAAGTGCTCAAGCCTTTTGAATATGGACCACAACCGTGAATCAGAAGATCATCTGCATTTTTGATGTGGGAGTTTGTGTATTTCGTGAAAAGCATCTTGAAGGAGTGAGAACTGCTTCTTCTTTCACCTTGAGTGGAAATCTGTAAACTGACACCACATGCTCCCTTTCGACCGTACGACAGTTCATCAACTGATCATAACGGCACTGTCCCATTCAGGGAGACCAGTTCCTGTACTAACAGATCTGATGCCGTCACATGACAGAATGCCCTATATACTTATGATATGATGTCATAAGATATCTCATAATATATATAAAAACAGGGAAGGCGCACGAGTCACTAATCCAGCTCTAAATAGACGCCCACATGATCTACAAACACACAAAGCGGTTCAACTAGACTGGAATCTTCAAAAACATCTCTAGGAAGAAACGAGCACTTCCTTTTCCTCTGATGGCACGTTTGCGTAGCGCTTGCTTTCCTTCCATGACTCGCTTGGCTTCAGTTCAGGACCAGCGAGAGACGATTGCTAAAGCTGACCGTGTTTACCATTCAGCATGTTATGAGGAGAAGGAGTAATAGTTTCGTCTTACAAGGAAGTCTCATTCATGTAATCGCTACAATTCATGCATACTGTCCTGTTTAAAGTTCATAGGTCATAAAATGTGCTATTGCACTATTATTACACTTATTACACTGCGGAGAAAAAGTTAAGAATTTCAGCAAGGACATTAAATTGATCAACAAGTGACATATAGGTTATAAGATTTCTATTTCAAAATACTGTTCTTTTGAACTTCCTATTCAAAACATGCATTGCGTTTTTTTTTTTTTTTACAAAAATATAAAGCAGCACAACTGTTTTCAACATTGATAATCATGTTTCTTGAGCATCAAATCATCATATTAGAGTGATTTCTGAAGGATCATGTGACACTGAAGACTGGAGTAATGATGCTGAAAACTCAGCTTTGATCACAGGAATAAATTACACTTTACTATATATTAAAATTTATCTCACAATATTACAGTTTTTACTATGTTTTTGATCAAATTAACGCAGGCTTGGTAAGCAGAAGAGACGGTAGAGTTAAAAAAAATATGACTTCCAAAGATTATCACAGTTTGATTCAAAAAGTGGATGTAATTAATTTCCTTTGATTACAATTCATAAGGTGCACCTGAGCTAACACCTGTTGGCAACTTTGTTACCGGTTTTGTCTGAGCCTGTTTGTGCTGTACTTTGGCGCGTCTCTTTATGCTCCGTTAATCCAGTAAATTACACAACTCACTGTAAGCTTCTTTACTTTTCCTCAAAAGAAGTGAAAGAGGCCTGAGAACTAGGCTAAAGCCTCTCCAGGTGAAAGACTAAAAGATCCCACCCTCAAATTTATATTTCTGATCTCTAGATATAAGACTAACAGCCTTTATAGCAAATCTACGAGCTATTGCCCTAAAACTTGACTATGTAAATATGCCAGAAGAACAACACTCTGATTGGTGAGTTTTTCAAACGGGGAAGGAACTCTCTAAAGGGGGAAGGGTGGTTTGGACCCAGAACATCAGAGACTAAACTTCCCCCAGATTTCCACAGGGGTGTTAAGGGGTTAAAAGTGACACCTGTTGCCCCACACAGGAGTGTTAAGGGATGGATTGCATGCTGTAATGGGAGCCATGTGATGCAGCCGTGTGGACAAAAGGTGGATTGAGATGCCAGAAGACCATTTGTCACTTTTCATGTAAAAACAGGATGCTGCATCCATAAAGTTCTTCCCACCTGCACCACTTTACAACCACAAAAACACACATATATATACACAGTCAAACCAAATATTATTCAGACACCAGATATCATTTTTGATTTTTTTTTTTTACTAGTGGGTGCAGGACACTATAGTTAATTTATGTAAGTGAGGATAGCAAAATAAAGTAAACTGTGACATATTATATTTAAAGGTGCATTGCGCAACTTTTCATGTTAAAAATACCTGTTTTTCTATCCTATACATGCTTAAAGAACTGCCTGATGGGCTGAATGAGCCCTTCTCTGCGCACTGAGATTGCCTCTATAATCCTGTACAGTAAAATATATAAGAGGGATTCGGGCTGGAATTTGAGACTGGGCGTGACGTCATGCGCGTTCACGCTCACCAGGCTATGTCTCGCAGGTTTGTGTATTCGCCGGCGCCGCCATTCTCCGCATCAGCGAAGACAACTCGTGCGTCAAAGGTAGAAGATGGATTCAAAGAGACCGGCTTGTAGTCCATTCCAAACCCCAACGCAAACTCCACGTAAAGTAAAGAAAAGAAACATTTTGTCTAATGCCACCAAAAGGGCCAAATTGGAGTCAGACAGGCGTCGGAGTAAGACAAGAGTCAACCTCGGGAAGGCATTCAACAAATGGAGAGATCTCCGGTCTGCTCTTGGTCTCAAACGGGATCCTCAGTTGGCTTTTTTCTTGAAAAACGGTAAGATATAGCCCAGTCTCTAATGTTTGAAACGGCCAATCTATGTATGACAACAAATGACGATGCGTAAAATGTGTAATGCTTTAGCGTAAGCTAGATACATGTACAATCAGAATTGGTTTTACTACCATTGTTAGTGAACAGTTTCATAAACTAGGAATTGTTTTTGGAAGAATAGTACAACATGAAACATATAACATATCCAATAAAAGATGCGTGTGGTCCATGAGTGTGCACAACTCTGGTTGCAGTTTCGCTTGTCGCCAGAGGGGGCGTAGTTCTGCAAAAACTCAGAGACTTGCGTTTTGCACCTTTAAGAATTGTTCATACAGTAAAAAAAAAAAAAAAAAAATTTAGACCAAAAATGATTCAGACACTTTGACCTGACCATGTTTTGCTTGTGTTTTTTCTTGAACAAACTGACTGAACAAAATTAAGCATGTAATTGATTGAGCTAAATTGGTATTATCTAATTGTGTACTTAAATTTAACAGCTGACCGATATTCAACCTAATTCATTTGAAAGACAGTCTAACAGAAGGATGGACAAAACCAGAGAAATATCAACTGATCTGATAACTCTGAGTTTGTCTTATTTTATTACCATTTTCTAAACTATAGCGAATAAACTGTGATGATGTGAGAAATGTTGAAGGTGTCTGATTAAATCTTGGTGTGACTGTATATGCACCAGCTATTCATTATTTAGTGCTGTATTATTAGGATTAGTGTGTTCCATTATCCATTATAGTAACTTAAAAATAGTATGTCAAATGTGCAAGAATGACAGTGGAGTGTTTGAATGTAATATTAACCTAAAATTAACAATGAATTTTAAGGTAATGGATATAGCTAGATTTTAAAACTTGTATGCAAACACAAACAATGACGTGGTAGTAAGCCTCAGTGGCATACTGTCTCATTACAAACTCAAAACTACCAACTTTCTCATCAGCAGCAAAGTACAAACTTTTGTATAGTAGAAGTATGCTAATTGGAAGGCTCGTCTGATTGGCTCATTAGGGGACCGAGTCAGCATGAGTTTGTTTGTTTTTTTGAGATTATGAATCAGTGTTAGAAATTCAGGGTTGAGTTTGGATCATAAATATATCTTGTGTTTTAGAACCCCAAACAGTTCTTGTTTCCGACAATAAAAGGACATCAACACTGCATCTGTTGCACAAAATACTAAGAAACATTTATAAAAATATAGAAACGTAATTCATTGCTTTCCTTCTATTTTACTGTTATATATATAAATTGCATGTATGCATGTAAATCCACATATACATAACACTTCCTATTTTCTGATTCTATTTGATTTAGCACATATGTATGCGACCTTCGCCCTTAACTCTTCATAACCTCTTACCTGGATCTTTCTTCCACTGCGGTTGGTGCTGGGGCTTTTGACTGGCACCTTATTGGGCGTGGTGTGGGCGGAGTCTACTACGTCGTTAAGTTGAGCTGCTTTCATCACAGTGCTCATCATGGAGTTAATGGAAGACAAGTCCACTCCATCGGCTACATGCATCTCTCCATCTGCTCTATTCTGTCCATTCTCCCATTCATTTCCTTCCTCCTCTACACTGGCAGAACCCTCTGTGGATGTTTTAATTTCTTTGCATTAATGGCAGACATACAGAAGGATGGAACGATAGACAGCATGATAGACAGAACAATAGATAGGTAGGGAGGTAGAACGATAGATAGAAAGAACGATAGATAAACAGATTTGTACCTGTGTGTGTTTCTGTGGGGGCGGGGCTCTGGACATCATCGCTTTGCTCCACCTTTTCTGCAGTTTGGGTGCAAATAGCGGATTCTGTTCTCGTCTCCTCCTTTGAATTTTCCATAACTATGGAGAAAAAACGGATGCAGATAAGCCAAGGCTGCTCTGAGTGCACTGGAAGTCACACTTCTATTCAAACAGTCTTGCAATAAGTTTCATAAAATCATAAATGATCAAAAATATTCTAACTTTATGAGCAGAAAATAGCTAGTTAGAGAACAGCTTCCTTGTCTAAAGCATCTAAATCAAGAGAGAAACTAGTTTGAGAATGGAAACTGTTCAGCTGTACACTACACAGGGCACTTTCCCAGTCAGCAGAACATGATGTGTGTTCTCTAGATGAGGCACAGTACACACATTCTCCTGGTGCTTTATGGCTCCAGCACCTGCCTGGAGAGCGCAAGTGAAGGGCAGTGTGTCTGCCCGGCTCATGACCACACGAGCGTGGCGACGAACGCGAATTTAATTATTTGCGCGAGTAGATTACATACAAAGTCAATGCAAAGACGCGAATAGATGCATTATTCGCGCCGGGCGTTGCGAATGACGCGAATTGGGGGACGCGTTTGCCGCGGATGTCTTCCGCGCAAGTTGAAAAATTTGAACTCAAGTGAATGTTCAAGCGTCTAACTAGACGCGATAGACGCGTATTTGACGCTCTTTTCGCGTTCGGTGTGAACACACCATAAGAGTCGTCATACACAAAGTTTGATGTCATAAACTGCAGTTTGAAGTGTTTTTGCATTCCACTTTGGTACTTTTTCATTGTTTTTCTATGTGAACATGTACTCGTTGAACAACCATTGCTCTTGCATTTCACATCTTTAGCAGAGACTCTCACATGACAGCGTTCTAAAAACAGGTTACATTTTAACCTAATAGATTAGGTAAGAAATAAGAGATGCTTGGGCATCTCTAGATCTTGCATTTTTCTATTCCACGGCTCTCGCTTCACTTTTGTTTATTTCTGTGAATGGGCCCTTATTTACACTGAATTTCCCATCCTTGACATACAAAATCTTTGTGAAATATGCACAACTTATTACTCTCCTAGCCAAGTTTAAGAAAAAACAGAGATCTGATTGGGTTAAGCAACTTGCAACATCATAGGCAAACTGAATAGGGTGTGGCCTATGAAACTATGACTGGTTTCACACAATTTTCGGACAACTCCACACGACCACACAGGCACATCTCTGCTTTGGTGGGTGTTGGCCTGGCAGATGGCTGTAGATGCTAATCTGGATGAGCAGGGGGGGGGGGGGGGGGGGGGGGGGGTTGTGTCTAAGCGGTACTTTTAAGATGGGGAGGTCATGAGGGGTTCATTCCTGTGGGGATGATGAGAGATGCTAAAGGTACTTTGGCCTAAAACATGCTGGTTATGATTCAACAAGTGTGCTAATGACTAAAAAGGTTGCTAAAGTGGTAATATTTAAGGAGGGAGAGCTGTGGAAGAAGGAAGAATGGGAAAAACAGAGTTGGGAGGGGAAAATAGATGGAGAAAGAACAAGCAAGCGAAAGACTCTCTCTTTGCTAATTGCCGTTTCCCCATCCACAACCACACAGGAAGCTCCTCTGCAGTCTGGGCAACTTCCTCTTTTGGAGAGAGGATAAGGGAATGCGAGTGTGTGTGTGTGTGTGACGAAGCAGTTGGACAACAGGATCTGCTGTTGGCTGGACCAGAACAGCATGGTAGATATGATCAGGGATGGCCAACTCTGCACCAATAAGTGAAACTTCACATATGCCTTGTAGCCAAATGGAGGTAAACCAAATTCCTCCAAAAACAGCCTGCTAGTCTAAATGCGGAGAGAGTCCTTACTCCTCAAAATAACCAAAGTGGGGGTTGACAAGTGTGTTCATCAACCAAACATCACTGTAGTGACAACAAATAAAAAACAAAATAAGAAATTATGTCATAGAGAAGACTCTCATGAATGTCCTTGCAGTTTTTTTTTTTTTAAATTCATGAAGTTTGTTACTCATCCAATGTAGTACCTAAAAATTTCGGACGCACCATGTGTGTCAAATTTAGTAAGTCGGCCTTTTTTTATGACAAGGCAAGTTAGTTCAGATTGTAGAATTTCATGTGGCATGACTCCCCAAAAATGCAAATGTTAATAATGGATTAAAAATTCATGATATTTGTATAAAAAAATACTTTTAACTTGAAAGATGCTTTTGAAAAACGTTTTGAAAATAATGTGCAAGGAAAATGTTAATACTTTTTACTAGTTTAATCTAAAAGAAAGGGTCAGAAAAAAACTTTCACAAGAATAAAAAGCATCATCTGATAACTTGGAGTGCATTGAAGGGAAGTTGTATACAAGCCACCAATCACACTAAAGCATGTCTGTAAGTCTGTTTTCCCTCATTAGACAAGATGAGCCACTCCTCTGATAGAACGTTTGCATGATGGGCGGGACGTTTTTGCTGGAAAAGGAAAAGCGGTTGATATTTGGGGTGGGGGACATTAGTATTATGTACTGAAGAGAAAAACAGAAAGACACTGAAAACAAGAAGATCACAGTGGGAAAAGGGAAAGGAGGGAAAACCTGTATTCGTAGAGATGGGTGTGGAAAGTCAAGCGAGATACTGTTGGGTTCTGTTGATGATTAGAGGTAGAAAGACAAGAGATTACACAACAGCAGGGCAGGTTTCGAGTTGTGCAAGGATTTGAGGTGGGGGTTTGGGGCGAGAGTGAGTGAGACAGAGTTGTACTTGTCATAAGATTCTCGCTCCTTTGCCGGGAGATAGTGGGGGTGGAGGGAGTTGGGGGGCTGCTGTTACTACATCTGTTCCCACCCATCACTCTCACTACACACACACACACACACACACACACACACACACACACACACACACACACACACACACACACACACACACACACACACACACACACACACACACACACACACACACACACACACACACACACACACACACACACACACACACACACACGACAGAAAGAGGTTCTTGCACATCCTTGTTAAAACAAGTCAAACTCTGGGAAAGCAGAGATGATTCAGTGAGACTGAGCAGAGAATATGAGGATATCTGATGTGTTTGCGTGTGCTTGAGTTTATGTGAGCTTCTTGAGTGTTTTTGTGTTAGTCAGAAGCACACAAGGGTGGAAAAGTTCTCACACAATGCCAAACCGAGCAAGCAAGAATGCCTCTGCTGTTCCCTTTCTCTGTCTCTCTCCATCTTGTTTCGTCTTCCATCTGTCCTTCACTGCTTTTCCTCTTTCATCCTAGTTAAAAACACATTTTTTCCTCTAAAATATTCTAAAATGAGTTGAGGTTGACAAGATTGACAGCATTTCTTTACAACCCAATTTTTTTTCACAACAGGGAGTCAGTTGGAATTAGCCACTAGCTATAACCATAGTTTTCTTCTAGAAAATCTTAAATGAGGCATTAAAAAAGTAGCTGAAATATTTACTAAACTAACATGCCAAGCATTCAAATTCTTGCAATTCTGTAAGTGAGCGTTTGTGCAGGTCTTGCAACACATAAATGCTGGCAAAAATGTCATGGATCTCAACCCGGGGGTCAGCGCCAACTAGGAGGCCTCAACATGATTTAAAATGAGACAAAAGCTTAAAAATAAGCTAAAACTTTCATTCACCCCCAAAATTGTTATTCTACGAATGATTCTTCACATTTTAGAAAGTGTTGGGGGTTGTTTCTGGGAATCAAAAAGGTTGAGAACTGCTGTTCTTACATGTACGGCCAACACATTTGTGATGCTGCACAACTGGCGAAAAGTTGGTTTCAGTTTGACAATTGAAATTTAGTCAACAGCTTGTCCTACTTTACCACGGGACACACATATGACACTGCCAAATAGTACAAATAGCACCTGACTATTTATTGGAGAAGCATTCCTAATCTAAATTTACCTTAAAACTTGGGCCTGAAGCCAAAGCATCCCCCTTTAGCCACAAACTCAAATCACCAATGCATGATTTAGTCAAAAACCTTGGCATTACAAGAGCTTTCCTTCCTTATATGATGCCTCCAGCCTACATTCAGTAGGAGCTCTAATTAAAGTAATTGGCCTAGCTTCTGGGATGCAAATGATAGAGCCGAGGTGGGTTGGACTTTAAGGATGGCTGTCAGACAATAGCTCCAAGCCAAACTGACAAAAGTGACACATGCACTTTAAAAACAAACAGATATTGCATGAAACGACCGTTCGGTTCACTGTTCTTAGTCTTGAATGGCTTTTAGAAAGGGAAAGGATGAAGATATAAAAGTTCTTCCTGAGCGGGAGAAAGCTAAAATGGGTTTTGTTTGCTCAACAACAACAAAAACGCTTTGTGGTTAAATTGAGAAATAGTAGAGAGGGCTGCAATGAGGCGAGGGGGTTGAGGTTGCAAAAAAATCCAGTGACCATATGTTGGCTGTTTATTATAGCTTTCAGTGTCTTCCTTAACATCACAGCCCTCAAAAGGAAACAGGAGAAATGCTGACTCTGTTGTGTGAAATAAGTAGTAGCTAACACAGAGAGACGAGGCAGTAGAGGAAGGAAGCTACACTCCCGGAAACTAAACATCCCAAGACCGTGGTGTAAAAGAAGAGTTTCACAGTTGCCATTCTCTCCCACCTCGCATCTATCCTCCCTACCAATCATTATCATGATCACATGAGTGACTCAAACTAGGGCCTATTGAGCCAGAATCTTGCCCTGACTTGCCAGACCGAGCTTCACAAATCCTCTCACACAAACTGACTCCCGATGACAAAGGCGGCGCATTCGGTCACCAACATTTTGAGCACACCTCTCGTTTTAGTTTATGGAGTGGTGTGCAGCCTGCCAGCTTGAACTTTTCACGTTCAGTCTCTCTTACTGTCTAAGGGCAAAGATCAGGGTATCAGTAGAGCACTATGTTTACAGAGAGCAAGAGAAAGGGGGCTGGTTTGGGGCCAAACTAGGACAGAGTGGAAGGAATATTACTAGTACTCCCTCTCTTATTCCCATTAATCACACTCTTTCGCCCGCTGATTCGAATGTCATTCGCCCTAGAGTTGACTGTTTTACACAAGCTCTTTCCG